CTTTATTTTTTCTTATATACGCCATATTGGATTTTTTCGCAGATGAATAGAGTTTTTATGTATGATTTCAAAAACATATGATATGTCATTCATTGACATTGCCAAACCTTAGGCCCGTATCGTCAGTCGTCCCTACAATTGTACGGCGCGTTTATGGCCTCCGCCCAAATAGATGTTTGTGACATAACCTCCAAATAGAGCACTGACATGGAAAAATAGAAAACTATGACAATCAAGGAGGCCATAAAGGCGCCCTACAATTGTAGGGACGACTGACGATACGGGCCTTAGTTATTTCAGAAAAACTGAAGTTTCTAGGAAGGCCTAGAAATTATCAGAGTCATTTGGTCCATATACCAGACCAGACCTCAAATTGAACAGAGTTTGGAAGACTGAGAAGAAGAGAAATAAATCGAGCAGTGAATAATGTACAGATAAGAGTAAGGCTTTGCCGACAAAATGGCGAACAACATTTTAAACATCTGCTATGATTAACTCTGCTTATTTATGATTATTATTGTTATTATCATCGATAAAATTTCCATTTTGTGTTCAGGTTTCACCATACCTTTTTGTTTCGTAATAATTTATGTCCAACGACAAATTCATGGCCAACTAAATACATCATTGAATTTAGTACGTCCATTTAAATGTACAAAATTCGAATATAGGGCTCCATATGAAGAAACAAAGTTGGTGATGGAAGTCGAAAGAAGAAATCTCGAATAGAAAATTTGTCTACGCCATCTTCTAGAAGAGAATAAGTAACAATGGCAACATGTAAATTATCTGAAATCACATCTCAAAGGAAGTCAGGAAAAAGACAAAATGATGTTGGGATAAATCTGATGCAAAACAAATGACTACATATCTGATAATTTCAAGACCTACCTAAAAAATTCTGCTTTTTTTTAAATAACTACGCTTTGGTAATGTCAATGTATGACGTATTATACATTTTTGCACTAAGAATTGAAAACTCTATTCATTTGTGCAAAAGTCCAATATGGCATCCATAACAAAAAATAATGTTGATGCTGGAGGACAAGAGACCAAAAGACATATTGAAATTCTAATTATGCGATCTTGATGTGCAATTTATTTTGAAATCCCACTACAAATAAAGCCAGGAGAAAAATAAATCGATTTTAGGAAAATTCGGAATCTTCCGTCTATCTCCGGAAGTACTTTGAATTTCGAAACTTTCTAAGCGGAAGTTTGTTAATTACCTAGATACCGAACTTTGCTCCCATTTAAGCTACTTCGTATCTCTTACAGTCTTCGGGATCCCAATTGTGAGGATCGAATTTGAATCACCCGGTAGATGTTAGTGCTTGCGTACCTAAATGATATATAAATATGATAGTAATCATTGAGCCTTGTACCGACAAATATTTTCAACCATAATATATTGGATACATATTAGATTACATTCATTTAAAAAGAAAATATTTTCACAAGTGTCGTATCTTTATAAATAAGTAGAAATATTGGTGCTATGATATATATTTCAGCTATGCCTATAATTTAAAATCTGAAATATTTATTTTGAAGCTGATTAGCTCTTGTGAAAGCAGGCAATACAACTGTGTAGGATTTTAGAGGGCTAATATAATATTTTTAATTTTTCTAAACTACTGAGAACATAGTCAGAATGACCATTGCCAACAAATGCCCACTTCATAGAATATTCTCAGAGTCACTGTTGATGAATCATGGTGTGCTTATTTCAAAAATCACTTTAGTATCTGTGTAGCAGCTCTAGTTTGCGAGATTTCTTTATCCGACCCACATTTAATGTGAAAGTGTATATATATATACACTTATATATATACAGGGTGGCCCATCCATGTGTGGACAGAATATTACTCATAAATAATTACATTTTGGGAAGATCTGTTTATGGCATGGTATACATGACATTTGAGGGCACATTTCTAAAATATTGGCAATTATACAGGGTGTTCCAATTTTGACCTACATATCAAAGTTGTGATTTTTTAAATGGAATGCCTCAAATTTTATTGCATATCTGGATAAACCAATTCAATTTAAGAAGATTGATATAACATACTATGGGGTTTTGGTGATTAGCTACCGAGATATAAGGTGTTTTGTCCAGAAAAACCGTTCCACTTCGGCAACCGCTCAATCCGCGATTTTGAAATCTGGAGTGCTGACTTTTAAAAAAAAAACTTACACACCTCAGCTTTTATCTTATTTGTTACTTTTTCGAATTTTCATTTTTGTTCATACAGGGTATATTTGTACAAGTTCGGATTCAATTTTTTATAAGCTTTTTTTTGTATAAGGTTTGATTCAGATAAAATCACTAGATTTTGGGGTTATTAAGCTTTTAATAGAACAACACACCAAAATTAAGGAAGAAAATCACATCATCTATGGAGACAAAAGACAAACAGTGGGCTAGTTCCATAGTGCTACTAAGAGTACAGATTTGACGTAAAATGTAATAACAATCAGAACAGTATAAATCAGCTTGAAGCGTAATAGAGAAAAACAACTCTAACAGCAATATAAACAAACAACTATCAGTGCTCAAGACCTAATCTACAAAAACTGCTCGAGAATATCTCCACCATGTTGAATACACACCCGTAGTCTTTGGATAAATGACCGTTGCACATCACTCATGTTATCCATCCGAGTTTGCAGGTTGACATCCTCCAAAAGCAAATGCCCGATCAAAAAATTCAAGTATTCTGTACCTGTTAATCTGTTGTCGAAAAAGAAAGGCCCGATAACTTGTCTTCCAATAACCCCTTCCCAAACATTCAAGCTCCATTTATTTTGGAAATCTATTTTCCTAACCCAGTAAGGGTTTTCCGTCGCATGATAGTGCATGTTATGCCTGTTGACAACACCTATGTTGTTAAAAGTTGCCTCATCGCTAAAAAGAGCCTTATCCAGGAAACTAGTGTCTTCACTCACATTATTCTAAACTCCATTGGATCTGCGAAATCCTGAGGACGAAGGCCTTGATACAAGCAAAGTGATATTGATGGTACCTATGCTTGTGAATAATTCTTTGGACAGAAGTTCTGCATATATCAGTTTATGCTCCAATTTGCTGTGCACTTAAATGGGAATTTTCCTGTAACTTTAATAGAATCTCCAACTGATTTGACTCATTGGTGACACTTGGATTATTTATACATTTTTTACTATATACACTGCTCCACTTGATTCAAAACGTTCTCGTGTGGAGAATGTTTCCGGCTTTGAATGTCGCATATTAGGGTACCGTTGCTTGTAAATGCGAGATACTAGGAAACTACGCCACATTCACCATTTCTTTTTTAGAAAAATTCATTTTCAAGCACGCTTTTATTATAATGCTCACAAAGCTAATTTTGACAGTTTGTAACTAATCAACAATTTTTTTTTTCAAAGGATGCGATATTTTAGGGAATTAAGCCGTTCCATAAAAGACGTGCTAACAACCGAAAAAATAGCCGTAAAAACCCTCATGTGTCTGGTATAAAAAAAAGGCTTATGAAAAATTGAATCCAAATTTGTACAAATATACAGGGTGATGTAGTTGAAATGTTTGAGAAAAACTTCAATTTGCGTTTTTGACCACCCTGTATGAGCAAAAATTAAAATTTGGAAAAGTAACAAATAGGATTAAAGCTGAGGTGTGTAAGTTTTTTTTTATACAAAATTCAGCACTCCAAATTTCAAAATGGCGGACTGAGGGGTTGCCGAAGAGGGGGTCTTTCTAGACAGAACGCCTTATATCTCAGTAGCTAATTAGCAAAACCCCATCGTATGTGATATCAATTTTCTTCTTTTAAATTGGTTTATCTAAACATCCAATAAAATTTGAGGCATTCCATTTGAAAAATCACAACTTTGTAGGTCGAAATTGGGACACCCTGTATAATTGCCAATATTTTAGAAATGTGCCCTCAAATGTCACGTATAACACGCCATAAATAGATTTTCCCAAAATGTATTTGTTTATGAGTAATATTCCGTCCACACATGGATGGGCCACCCTGTATATGTCTCAACGTTTTTTGGGATATTGAAAATAATTTAATCTGCTGTCATCAACTACTTTGGAGTGAATATTTTCTAACTAGAGGACCTGTGGTTGGCAAATACTATGCCCAAATTGTGTTGTCTCTTTACGGCAATTCATTGGAAAAAGATTTGCTCTTGAAGACACCCGTTATTTGGCGGGAATCTCATAATAATTAATTAACCTTATCGGCATAAACTCTGCAAACTGACACAAATGACATAAACCACGTTGTCTTCTGCTCAGTTGTTTCATAGACACCCTAATCAATCAGCGGTAGCTGTATCATCGACTTCTCTAGCATGTTTTGACCTATCAACAATGAAACTGAAGAGAAAAACATTAATTTGACTTGCCCGGATTGAATAGCGAAAACTTAAAAGCAGGTATTTTGAATGGACCTCAAATCAGTTAGCTGATAGAAGACCCACATTTTGTTGAATCTTTGAACGGTCTGGAAAAGCGGAGGTAGGAAACTTTCGTTTTGATAATTCAAAATTTCTTGGGCTTCATTGATCAGAAAACAATTGACAATTAGTTAACGATATGTTGTCTAATTTAAAATATTTTTTTTTGAAAATCTTGGGATTCTAGTGAAGATCATGTTGAATGGTATGACCAGGATATTAGCACAATGTAAAAGAGATGTGGGATGTACATAAGATAGAACAAGAACCTCATTCAAGAAAATTTTATGAACTACATTTTCATCTCAACCTCATTAAGTTTTCAGAATAACGAGTGCAGACTCTATGAATAACTAATATAATTGTGTAACCCGCATGAAAATTTAAAACTAGAGCTGCCAAAAGGTGACCAACAGACCTGATTTAACTGAAAAAAAAAATAACTCTGAAAATGTTTTCATTGTTGACAAGTGTAATTATTTTAATTATGTGCTTTTTACGAAAAGCCTTTTAATATCTATGTTATTCGTTTGTATTTTTTTCAGGCTACAATTATTGATAGAGGTCCAAATTATATCACATTTAGAGGAAAGCAACAGCCTACCGAGTTTCACATAGAACTTCTTGAAAATGGCATCGATACTATGTCAAAAATGTTGGATTACTGTAGTAAAAAACGAAAAAACAACAAATGTTTGGGTACAAGAGAAGTGTTAGCTGAGGAAGATGAATTACAACCTAATGGAAAAGTTTACAAAAAGGTATGGAATAGCATATATATATATATATATATATATATATATATATATATATATATTTGTAGCTCTCTCTCCCTTATGATGTTTGGGTTGTGTAATATTACTATTACTATTTACATACGTAATCTAATCAGTAGTCTATAATTTATCTGTACAAGTTATACTTTTCCTACTGTTAGTGGACTATTATTCAATGTTTGGATAAGCACTGCAATCAAATTTATCGGCTGGTACGGACAGCAACAGGTATTTATTGTTTAACGATGTTCTAGAAATGTAAAATTCAGTAGAACTTGGTACTTTAATTTACGTAGCTTAATAATTTATACAAACAAAAAAGCACCGTAGCAAACTATTTTTTACTGAGCATTGCGCTACTGCAAATCATATATTAGGTTTGTTGAATTGACTACAAAAAGGTTAAAAAATGCGATCTATGCAGGCTATTTCGTATTTAAATGGACATAGGGAAATGGTCGCTAGTATGTATCGAGATATTTCCATACTTGAAAATAAAAAAGTATTAAATTCATTTTTGACGAAGTTACAAAGTGATTTATCTAAACACGTTAAATCTTTAATATCGCACTCGAACACTAGTGATCGGATTTTGTTGAAATTTTGCACGATAACAAAGTTACCTAGGAGTAACGTGAAACTAGACGGACGGTTAAAAGTTCCATGGTCGGATCTGTTTATTACCTTTTTTGTTTTTTATCAAAATCATTATATTTTAAGATGGATCAATATTGAAATGCTTGACTATGTACAAAAAATCCAATGAATGATTTTGATCAATTAGCAAAATACGAGTAGATTGTTAGTGCCACTTTTGGTTCTTTAGTTAAAAATGCTTATTTATTCAAATGCCTCATTTTTAGCAGTTTATGTGACACAAAACTCAAAATTTCAATGATTATCAACTTCGCTTCATCAACTTTTTACATACTGCTTAAACTTAAACATTTTGATTTTCATATCCAAATAGTGTGTCGAAGCTAAATATTCATCACTATTAGAGTTGCAGAATAAAGTTAAAGATAAAAGTTGTAGGCAGAGCTAAGGGCTACAACCTAAAATTATGTTTAGCTATACAGAGTGTCCCTTAAATTAGTGGCAATATAAACCTATACTTCTGTAGAAGCGCCTTTTTTCTTGGCCATGCCCAATGTATGGTTTCGGGGGTTTGTACTTGGTATTTCAGAATATATGGCTATTTTTTTCGTCAAAATCATTATACATTTGACTTCCCATATCTTATACAACACTTTAGAAAAATCTGTTTTATTATGTATTTATTATGGAAACAGTGGTAGACATTCATATCCAACATTTTTTTTGTACATATTTCATTCGAGACATACAGAAACAGAAAGATGTAACTTTACTCTAAAAATGTAAGTGAAACACCCTTGTATGCTATTAATAAAACAAATTTCTATTAATTAAAATATGTCGCTGAGTGGTTAAAAAAATGTAATTGAGCACATACAGCGGCTACTTAAAAAAAACACTATACTTATCTTTGCTAAAGAACTTTAGAGTTAGAAGTGGCGTGCGAGTTTTTGTGCTCTTCAAAACATCCAAACATAGAAGATATTATTTCTGCTAGGATTTTGAATAAATGGCAACTATTTAAATCAATCTAGTCATGCGCACCGAGCTTTAACACACTATTTGGACAGCCTGTATAAAAAGGTCTTGGTCTATACTACCTGACATATCAATATGTCGATTCAAATACGAAATACTCTGTATAAACGCTACTATTTACCGCCCACTTTGTCTTTCAGAAAATAAATTATAATATCGACAGCCCTGGGATCTTAGACTATTTGAAATGAACAATCATACTTATGGATAGTTACTTATGAAGTATTTTTCTAGTTCGTTTTAGGTGATTACAAATGGCAAAGTTACGAGGAGGTTAACACATTGGCAACGCATTTCGGACGAGGCCTGAGGGAACTGGGCAACGAACCAGGCAAGAATGTGGTTATTTTTTCAGAAACTAGAGCGGAGTGGATGATCGCAGCCCATGGTCTATTTAAACAGAGTATCCCATTAGTTACTATTTATGCTACGCTTGGCGATGAAGCTATTGCCCATGGTATCAACGAAACTGAGGTAGATCAATGTAGAAATTTTTGAATATGAAATAAGTTGTTGAGGCGTACCTATGCTAACTCTACGCTTCAAATTCTCGTAGTTGCAGAACGATTAAATGTTTAACTGTTTATTATTTTAGGTGTCTACAGTCATAACGAGTTTTGAATTGTTACCCAAATTCAAACAAATCCTCAGTTTAACTCCACAAGTAAAGACTATTATATACATCGAGGATCAGTTGAAGAAACTTGATGACACTAATGGATTTAAAAATGGAGTTACTATAATAAAATATAAGGATGTTTTAGAAAAAGGAAGAAACTCTAATATAGGTAAATATTTGTATATGGTCAGTGCAACTATTTTAAGGTCAAAGCAGTTTTCTTGCTGTTGATTCAATTTTTTTCGCATTTACATAATTTTTGATTTTTTAGGAGAAGTAGCTCCAACTAAAGATGATGTAGCTATTATAATGTACACCAGTGGATCCACTGGTATTCCTAAAGGTGTTATGTTACAACACAAAAACTTAATAGCTACCTTCAAAGCTTTCTGTGATCTTACTAGAATGCAAGATGGTGATATAATGATGGGCTATCTGCCTTTGGCTCACGTTTTTGAGCTATTGGTAAGTGAAGAAAAATTCGGATTTTTCAAAATGCCCAGTGATTTCTGTAAAGTTTGCTGTACATTTTCTAACCTTGCAGATACATACAGGGTGTTTTCAAAGTCGAGTCATTTATTTTAAACACTTGTAGAACTTGTCAAAAGAAGTTGATATATCCTATACAGCATAACTTCGAAGTTGAGTCATTTATTTTAACAGTGAGTAGATCTGATAAAAAGAAATGTTTTTTTCCTTTAACATTTTTCTGATAAAATTAAAGTAACAAAGTTATAGCCCTTTAGAAGTTTGAGTACCGCCCTGTCTCAATAATAATATTATGTGCTCGTGTTTGGCAACAACGGATATAATCCGCCTTATCGGTTCATCGCATCGGAAACAAAAAAGCGAAAGAATTTGTAACGTTTATCACGATGTTTTTCGTCAGTCGGTAACGCGTGAGTGAATAGTGGTGTTTGTTGCGTGGCTCAAACGAAATAAAAAATGGCACATGTTTACGAAAATGCTGAACTTGTGGACATGATTCTTATTTACGGAGGGGATTCTTTACAAAATGCTGCCGCGGCATCACAGATTTGTGCGAATCGGTTTCCCAATCGAGTGCAACCAACCCCTCGTGCCTTTGTTAATGTAGTACAAAGGGCTCGTGAATCAGGTGACTTAAGACCTCAAAGGGGAGGGCATGCCGGTGTTCCAAGACCGCACGATCAAATACAGGTCCGCACTGAAATACTTGTCGGGAGGATACTTTATAAAACAAGGTAACGTTTTTTTTAATTTTTTTTTATTTTTACGCACATATTTTGGTTTATCTCCCTTCTACAATCATTATCTGAAAATTAATGACTCAACTTCAAAGTCACCCTATAGTATAATAGTTGCATAATAAGAGAGTTAGCTTACATTATTAAAAATTATTTAATAAATACCTTTTATACCTAAACTGTTCAAAATTGACCTCATTCCTGGTGTCCACGAATTACATCACAAGCATTTTGACTGCGCTGTTGAAGTTGTTCCAGAGTATTTACTGATCCATGATGATACATCAACTCTTTCAAATAGCCCCACAGAAAAAAATCGTAAGGAGCTAAATCCGGGGCCAAGAAATGGGTCCAATGCGCGTCTATTCGGAAACTCATTATTTAGATGTTCATGAACTTCTCGTCTAAAATGTGGTAGAGTCCCATCATGTAGGAACCACATATTCTGTCTCACATTTAGAAGAACATCTTCTAACAATTGTTACAGATTGTGTCGAAGAAAATCTAAATAAATTTCACCGGTCAGTCGAGGTGGAAAAAACTAGGGTCCAATATGCATGTCATTTACCACGCCAGCCCAAACATTTCATGAAAATATATGTTGAAAATTAGTTCTTTTTATAGCCTGCGGATTTTCTACTGCCCAAACATGATTGTTGTGGAAATAGTGCACTCCATTTCGTGTAAATGTGGCACAAAATTAATTTCGTAAAATCTTAATTTCTGCCGAGCGGTTTCAAAATCCACATGCAAAATGCAACTCTTCTACGATGATCTTCAGGTTGTAACTCGTGTGCCCGTTTATAATGATAAGGATAATACTGTTCTTGTCGTATTGTCTTCCAGACTTTACTATGAGAAACTTCAACTTGAGCTGCTATGACTAGTACTCATTGTTGGGTCGTCTTCGACCATTTCTAAAATGTCTTCCTCAATTTGTAACATTTAAGGTTGAGCAGTTCTTCCAGCAGCGTGTCCTCGTTTTTGTTTTAAACATCCTGTGTCACGAAGTCTAATAACTGAATTTACAAACAATCAACTCCTTTTGACGCGTCCTACAAGCAGTTGAAATAAATTACTCAACTTTGAAAACACCCTGTATAACATGTTGTGGCTAAAATTGCGTGATTATATTCTTATTATTGTTGTTTTATCATTTTTAGGTGGAAAGTGTGTGTATGTGTATGGGTGTGCCTGTAGGATATTCGGGACCACTTACCTTAATAGATTCGGCTAGCAAAATTAAAAAGGGTAGCAAAGGTGATGCTACAGTCTTACGACCTACCTTTATGACAGCCGTCCCGGTAAGTATTTTTTTTTCATTAAGGAATATTGTAGGATTATGTTTTTGATAATGAGCTTAAAATTGTCACTGTATTGTAACCGGTATTTCTAAATTTAATTTAACGGCTTTTTTCGTTGGCGTGACATATATTGAGCATTTTGAGAATTTAATAGTGACTCAGTTTACGACGTAGGAACGCATCAGAATTATGCAAATCGATTATGAAAATTCACTTGTATTTTTTTATTAAAATTACGATGGTGGAGCGGTAGATAGTCACAGCGAGTGTTATCATGAATATGGACTTTTTGGTGCCCCAGGGGACGAATAATATGCACCTCAACAATAATAACGATATGTTTTTTATAAGACCAGATCACATGTCATACGACGAGGGAAACTTTGGAATTGTCTCAGACACGTTTGAATATGATCTGTTTGCTCTACGGGCCTAACCATACACAACGTTGTTGCATGCTTTTCAGCAATCAGTGTGGTATAGATCTAGTCATTTGGAGGAAGATGTCGGAAAGCATACAAGGGAAAATGGTTGAAAAACTCAATATTGTGATGTGCGAAAAAGGTGATACGCCATCTATGAGTAGTTTCGTAAATCTCTCAATGTCGGTGTTTGCTTCTATAAAGTCAAATAAGAACGAACTTCCACATAGACGACCAATCATCATACAGCAGAGTACTGAGTATTCTTCATGCTACTATCACTGGCGTTCTATGCAGAAGTTGCATAACATATCGAAATGAAACAGCGCAAATCGCCATCTATTACCAGGATAGACCACTATGAGTATGCTGTATAGTAGCTGTTAGCTGTTAGTTACCACTGTGGCCGCTAGAGGCTGTCGATTCCACTGACGATTAAGGACCTGAATCAGATACAGTAATAGACAAAAGTATACATATAGACAAATTAATATTGTGCTGTATTTCTTTTTTAACTTGTTTTATTAATACACCAACCTGTATACATAATTCGTTATATAAATAAATTCATTAGACTCCCTTCAATAAAATTAATTGAAAAAACTGGAACTATGAAGGACAAAAATATATAGGCAAAGCAGAACAATTATAGAAAAAAGAAGTAAAGTTCATTGAATTATAGAAATCTAACCATGTTTGTGTTAATATTTTGTAGCATAACCATTATTATCAATCACCGCCTGGCATAGTCTCGGCATAGATTGTAGAAGTTTCTTGATATAAGATTCATCAATCTGTCTCCACTTTTGCTCTAAAGCGGCAAAAAGTTCATCCTTGTTTGAATAATTTTTATCTCGTATTTGCTTATCTAAGTATTCCCATATTTCAATGGGGTTTATATCGGGAGACTGTGAAGGCCATTTGAGAACTGGTATTTTTTCGTCCAGAAAGAATTTCTTTGCGAGATTTGAAGTGTGCTTCGGGTCATTATCTTGCTGGAAGATTGATCTTAAGGGCATATTGTCTTCCATATAGGATAACATGACATGCTTTAGTATGTCTGTGTATGCAAACTTATCCATAATGCCATCTATTCTATATAAAGGTCCCATCCCAAATCCCGAAAAGCACCCCCAAACCATAACAGACCCGCCTCCATATTTAACAGTGGGCAAAGTGTACTTGGGGTTCAATCATTGTCCACTAGGACGTCTAACGTAATCAACACCATCTAATCCATACATATTGAACTTGGATTCGTCACTGAAACATACCCTCTTCCAGTCACATATGCTCAAATCAAGATGCAACCGTGCAAATTGTGATCGGTCCTTACGGTTTTTCCTCGAGATTAGCGGCTTCTTAATCGGGCGACGTGCAAATAACTTCAAATCATTTAATCTTCTACTTATAGTTTTCGTAGAAACACTGGCAATTCCTTTTGTCTCGATTTCGGCTTTTATTTGTCTTAGGGTTTTAAACGGATCTTTGGACGAAAATTACTTTTATTAATCTAACTGATCTAGCATTTAGTTTTCTAGGCCGACCACTTCTCTTAGAGGCTTCCTAGATACCTTTTTGTTTATATTTGTTCAATATTGCCCAAACTGCTTTACGCTTCAGCTTCAAATTTTTGGCAATATCGACTTGACGTTGACCATCTTTGTATAACTTAATGATCTTAGTTTTCACATCGAAAGAAATTTCTGGACCACGCGGCATGGTCTTAAAATCACTCATGAATTCGTTTTCTAAAGGTATTTAGGTAAATATTCATATTTGTCTATATACTTTTGTCAATTACTGTAATCTTTCAAGCTCCCATACTTTCACATTCTGTCAATATAAACAAGCAGGATATTTTTAAAAAATTGTTGGTTTCATTAAAATCAAAATTCCGAAGACCCATTGTTTTTTTATGATGGGAATCCATCCATTAAACGTTAAAATGAGTCATCAAAGAAATACTTTGAAGTACGTGCGAATGAGCGCAAAAATTAAGAAGATAGAAAAGATCCTTATACATTCTCATCATTTGGAATAGAGTTCTAACATTCTTTTTTTTTCTTTACAGTTGATTTTGGACAGGATAGCGAAAGGCATACACGACAAAGTGGAAAACATGAACTTTACCACAAGGTTACTTTTCAGATTTGCGTACGAATACAAGTTGAAATGGCAAAAATTGTGCTTTTCAACGCCTTTAGTCGATAGGATAGTTTTTAGCAAAGTTCAAAAAATCATCGGCGGTCGATTAAGGCTGATCATTTCTGGCGGAGCCCCGTTGACAGCTGAAACACAAGAACAAATCAAGACGTGTATGTGCATATCACTGTTGCAAGGATATGGACTGACTGAGACCACTTCTTCTGCCACGTGTCAAGACGGTGAGTTTCTTCAATATTACTATGTTCAAAAATAAGTTTGCTCAAGGACAGTTATTTGTATAAAATATTAATTAGACTCGCAATCACTTCTGCATGCATACCTTGACGTCTTCTCGCCAAGTCGCACAAGTCCTGCTGTGATATACATATGTTTCTGAATATATTTTTAAATGTACCTATTTCTTAGTGTATTTATATTTCCATATGAAAAGGCCCCTAATTCTCACTGTATCCATATACACTGAGAACCAAATCTGGCGCATCGAAGGAAAACAATTCAAGAGAGATCATTTGTTTTAAATTGAACGGGGACTTCAGAAATAATTTTTATTTGGCAAAAAACCATTGGCGTACCATTTTTTCTTAAAAAATATCGAAGTCAATACCCGTACGCACGCCACTGTTGAAGCCAGAAATTATTTTTGCATTGAAAAATATGCAACTTTAATAACTTTCACTACGTACTAAATATCAGTGAAATATCTGAAGCCGTTCTGAAAATATTAATTCATTTCCATTTTTTTTCTTAACACTTCAACACCCCGGGTTTTTGTAAGGACACAATTTTGGACCATAGTTTATAAAGCAAACTAACATTAATTTTTCATGTAGATTCACACACACTTAAATATTCGCATATCATTAAGGAACACTCTTTATATTTTCGAAACATAATTACGGCCCTCGGCCCTGGAAATAACTCAAAAATCAAGTTGATCGTATCTATGAAATTTTTGCATCTAAGTATCTTAAAACATGTGTATTTTCGAATATTTATTTATAGTATTTTTATGTGATGTATGGTCGCTACATTTTTGACTTTAAATAATAATAATAAATTGTCTTTATTCGCTTCTTTTACATAATATGCACATCATACAACAATAGGCATTGATAAGTCACTAAAATTTTAAGAATCCAATCGGTGGAGTGTTACCCTAATTCAACCGTACATCCTAATATGAAATTGACATTTTAGATCTATAATAAAACACAAAAAGATACAAAACATTATAAAAGTTAATGTGTTACTCCACTGCGATCACATTAAAAATAGTAGTCTTATTATAAGTATTGATTTGGTTTAACCTTTTGTTTTTGTTGTGAGGTCAGTGGAGCTACATTTTCATTTTTATATTTGTTCTGTGCCATCGTGTACGTTATATTATATGTAGATTTGAACTGGAAAGTGAATACCAATTTAATTAAGTATTTGAAAATGAGTGAATTTTGGACACAAAATGAAAAAATTGTGAACTTTGAGCTTTTGAAAGATAATCAAGCGCTAAACTAAGAAGAAACATGCTTATGGCAGTTTAAAATATACAAGTTGTCCAAAACGAGTATCGGGTAATTGTTAAAACTACTGAAATCAACAAAAATGTTTATTGATGATTATTAGGATATAAAGTGGAAAATTATTTGGAAAAAATGATGTTATCCAAATGGTGACCGTTACGCTGCTGGATCCAATCTGGAACGAAGATTGGCGATAACTCGCTGACACATATGTAGCTTTCGATATTGCTGCTATTTCTGACCTGATGTTTTGCTCAATTGAGTCAGGTTCGTCGGATTATACTTATATCAATTTTAAGGTATCCCCTTGCAAAATAGTCTAGTGGGCTAAGGTCAAGGCTTCTGGAAGGCCAATCGATATTACCCCTACGCGAAATGACCTTATTAGGGAATAATTACATCTTCCATTGCTTGATTTGATGTATGGCAAATGGCCTCATCTTATTGAAATCACTTTTTGAGTTGAAACCTTGAAACTCCTGCAACTCTGGGCCCAAAAAATTTCGCAGCATTCGCATTGAATGATCGACCTCGTCCATCTTCATGAAAATAAGGACCGATTATGCCTCTAGCAGACATAGCGGCCCAAACAACTACCTTTGGGCTGTGCAGGGGTCGTTCATGCTTTCGTCTCGGATTCTCCTCTGCCCAGTACGGACAATTCTGCTTATTAATATGAACATTCAGGTGAAAGTTTGCTTCGTCACTAAACAGTATGTTTTCAAAAAGCGCGAAGCGTTCCCGAGTACGGCTCCATCGTGACTAAAGCTCCACAACATAGCGGACGGCACGATCCCCTCTCCACTCCCCTCCATCGCTCCGTATCAAACAAATGCATCGCGAAAAAAATACACGTTGCTCTTTTTGGACACCTTGTATATGTTTTTAAATATTTAAAGACAAATATTCTCTAAACAACCTGTACAAGAAAACGAGCATAGTAATCTCTTCTATCTGAAAACTGGCCGTATCAGAGTCTTGATGGATCAGTCCCAGTCACTGTTGCTGGTATAAGCCTGTCGTGCGCCGTCTGAAATTTGCCTTTCGACATACCGGGTAGTACCACCTCAATACTCGTTACACATACATTCTCTTTTCAGAATATGACCCCACGTTTGGAAGAATTGGCCCCCCTCTAAGCGGAATAGATATAAAACTAGTCAATTGGGAAGAGGGTAATTACCTGGTTACTGATAAACCAAATCCTAGAGGAGAGATTGTAGTAGGCGGTGAAAACATCAGTATCGGTTATTATAAGAAACCCGGAAATACTAAAGAAGATTTCTTTGAAGAAAATGGAAGGCGGTGGTTTAAGACTGGTGATATTGGTGAAGTAGATAGTGATGGAGTATTTAGGATTATTGGTGAGTCTTAAAAATGTATTTTAGAGCTAAAATTTTAGTTTCCAGTGTTTTCATTTCTGGCCACTATATAATTTTCATTGCCTTTTTCGAGCTCTTCCATTATATTTATGTAAATAGACGAATAGAGAAACTAAGAAAGCTTCGACCGGCGGCCCTATCATGCCAGTTTGCTTAGACCAAATATTGTTCTTGATAGTCATTTATTTGAAACTAGCGTCTAAAATACTCCAGTTTCATTTGCAGGACAAAAAATGGCGTCAAGTCGGTTGACCTTCGATAGATGATACTTTGCTATGCTTTCGTTCGTTGTCCTACCTATAAGCCTAGACTGTGCTGATTATTGCTAATATGATCGGACGGACGATGTTACTTTCTCACAGAGATGGTTGGGAATGAGCCATTTATTTTATTTTTTCTGATACTTCTACATTCTTACCAAAGCAATTCTTCTTCCAGATCGTAAGAAGGATCTTGTCAAACTACAAGCAGGCGAATACATTTCCCTAGGTAAAGTAGAATCTTCCCTAAAAACTCTACCTCTTGTTGAAAACCTGTGCGTATACGGGGACTCGACCAAGAACTTTTGCGTGGCGCTGGTCGTTCCCAGCTTGGACGAGTTACCGAAGTTTGCCGAAAGACTGGGGATCACAGGCAAGAGTTTTGAAGAACTCTGCGATGACGAAAGAGTACAAAAGGCTGTGACGCAGCAGCTTGCTGAACACGGACGTAAATGTAAGTACAAACCATTGTTTTTAAAGCCGCTTCATAACATTACCGTCAATAGATGTCGACATCCACCAGTTGATGGAAGATTCTTGATTGCGGATCCTCTGTGGTGAGAGAATACTTTCAGTTTTCTCATTGGTTAAAATATTCCATCATGAGACATTTAAATTGTGTATTTAAATGTTTGAATACACTGATTCCTGTAGATTTGTCGAGGAATCCCCTCTTTTTCACGGGAGATTAGGTGGGATTGTTCTCGACCACCTCATCCCTCCCCCTGAGCACCTCACGTAATTAATGGATCCCCTAACCTAGTCATTGTGAGCTGCGCAGGTTCAAATCTCGTAGTAAGAGATTTTTTTTGCTATGGACGTTGTGATTGTAGACGGTCCTCAGGCTGTTGAGCATTGAGGTAACCCTGGCGGATCTCTAAGGCGGGGCCAGGATGCGTGCATGTCACACGTACACGTGTTGCGCTGCTAGAGTCCTTGTGGCGTCCTCCCTTTCAGACCTTAGGCCTACATGGTGGCTCAATTATCCAGAAAGTATAAACGGACCTAAATGCACCGTGGCGCCGCGAACCATTTACAACTACGTATAAGGTGTTCCATAAGTAATAGTAACAGCAGATTCCTTTCAAAGACATGTTGATATCAAGTTAAATTTTCTTAATCCGAAAGAAAAAGGCAACCAAGATACAGGGTAATAAATTTATTGTGGTTTTTTTAAATTTTGGCGATAAGTATAGCATGTATTCCTCGTTTTTAACGAAATTCGGCATATGAGAATTTTTTATATGGCAAATCTAAAAATTGACCTGTTTTCAAATTATCTTATAGAGGGCGCCACCAGCAACATTTACTGTTTTTTTAAACTTCGTAACTTTTTTACGTTTGGTGTAATTTAATTTTTTATTTAAAATATGCATTGTGCAATCATGTTTGCTTAAAAAAGGTATACTTTGTAAACCTCGCTATGATTCACCCTTTTCGAGATATTTACATTTAAAGTTCCCAAGGCACTCAAGATAAAATTTTGTTTTCCTGAGTTAAAATATTTTTTAAGTAGGCTGCGCCTGACGAGATGAATTATAAAGGTCTATTCATACTCAGCCGTGACGCGACAGTGCTGTGACCGGCAAGTGATCCGCCCGCCGAGACTAAAAACATTCTTCCTGTAATTTGGATGAACTGATTCACACTAGACCGGCACGGGTATCACATAAAAAACATACAAAACGTCAAAAAAAAACTATAAGATGTCAACTTGCCGACTAGGTAGTTTTTAGGGCGCAAGCAGTCATTCCACGTTTACTCAATAGGATCGTTGTAAACGTCCATCCATGGAGGAATCACTCAACTAAGCTACACACATTATTGGTTGCATAGTTTTGTGAGGCTGAGTAATCCGTGTCTGTAGTTTTTATCTCTGAGAAGAAAGTTGGTTGAATAGCAAGATCGCATGTGGATGATTATGTGTATTGGTCTGCATGTGTATAAAATCAGTGATATTTGCTGTGTGAGAAAATCATTACTGAATATGCTGAATATGACGGGTTATTTATAAGTTGTACTTTCTGATGAGAGGTTATCTTCAAAGTTATAAATTACGAAAAACTGATGAGAATTACGGGAAATCATCACCGCGCCCGTGTTGTGTGTAATTACTGTTAGCATGTATATGGCTTGTACTTCGACAGTGTACAGTGAATATGATTATTTCTGATCTCTCTCATTTTTTAAATTCAGCAAATTTCACAAGAACCCAATGTAATTATCATCAACATATACAACTTACAGCATAGACCTCCAGTAATGCCATCTCAGAAGCAGATTTTACATCACATCAGAGCCAAAGATTGATAGGTACCTCATGACGTTTAGGCAACACGTACAACTAAGTGCTCAGTTAACATCTTGTAGAAAAACCTACATAATGTCAAAAAACCAGCATAATGTCAAAAAATTTCGGCATAATGTCATTTTTCAAGATACGTGATACCCGTGCGGCACGTGGAAGTGACCGTGTTCTCAGTGTCCTCTACGACGCCGTGCCGTGATCGTCGCATTGTTGTGGAACGATATTTTTCGATTTTCACGGCCGCGTTTTTATCTAATTCCGTGAATATTTTGATATACTTGGTCAAAAACATGAATGATGGAAAACTAATTGAATTTGTGATCGCACATCCCGTGCTGTAGAACCAGTCAAATTCAAAATATATGGACTTCCGTTTTCTTCTCGTTTCTTCTTCATCCAGAATTAATGCAATAATTGCAAGTTCATCCTCTGAAAACTTTGCCATTTCGACCTCACGTGAACACAACTGCACTGTCAGAGCACGGAGAAAAATACTGACCGGATTGTATTGAAAACACAGTAAGCTCACGTCAACGAGAATCACTGGCACTGTCACGTCACGGCTGAGTGTGATTTGACCTTAAACGTCATTGTCACCGTCACGGTTTACGTTCTTGTCAGTTACTTGGATGCGAGATTTTTTATTTTACTATTTATTGCGACAAGAAGTACTTGAATAACATTGACTGTTACATTGTATCTTATTTATTACATATTTGAATTTTTTTCGTCATGAGTATGTTTTTCTGTTAAATATGCCTAAAATGATTTGACTTTTTTTCCTTAAATTATTTTTTTTATATAATTTCTTTATATATTTTTTGACGCTTGTATTTTTTAGTTTGATTATTAGCTTATACAGGGTGACCAATATGTAACGGACTGGTTTGTATCTTGAATATTTGTGGGATAAAATAAAATACGTCAATTTTTTTCATCTTCATCTTTTATTGAAACTTAGATATGTATGAAAAATAATATCAGACAAATGGTCGCCTCTAGAAGCCGCGCAAACCTGAGTCCTCTTGATTACATTTTCCATCACTTTTTAGTAGGAACCATATGTTTTAAAGGTTGAATTTTTGGATTTTAGGAGCCAAAAAGTTTTGCACCATATCACGGTAGCGCTCGCCAGTGACAGTAAGAGAATAATTACGTACAGCGTCTTCAAAGAAGTAAGGTCCAATGACACCTCCACACCAAACTGTGACTCGACGAGGATGTAGTGGTCGTTGATGGATAACACGAGGGTTCTGTAATTCCCAGATACGACAATTCTGCTTATTAACAAATCCGTTCATATCGAAGTGGGCTTCATCGCTCATTAGCAGTTGTCGGTAAAAAACGTTATTTTGGATATTAAGCTGCAATAATGCATGACTGAATTGACGGCGACTTTCATGGTCACTGGGAGTTCTTGGGTTAACTGAATTTTGTATGGCCGCAAATACAAGTCTTTTTTTTTAAATAGTCCATAATGACATGCGACGAATACCCAGTTCTTCAGAATAATGTCTCGTAGATGTCTCAGGGCGCTCCACTACACTTTTAAACTCTCTCGATATTTTCCGGAGTACGAACAGTTCGAACACATTATTTCGACCGAAATCTTGTCGTAGCTTCCGAATCGTTGCAACAATCGACTCATTATTTAAGTAAAACGTTTTAACAATACGGAGGCGTTGTGGGATCGTGTAGCGCTCCATGATGAATTGGACACATCTTTAAACAATTAGTACGGCGCCACCTACTGAAATGCGTGTATAAAAAATGGCGCGCGACTTAAATCAGTCAGTTATATATTGGCCACCCTGTATAATTTGGTTAAGAACGTCTCTGTTGTTATTTTGTTTGTTCGGCTAGTACTATGATCAGCTTGTATGTTTACTAGTCCCTTTTGCAGGGAATTGATGTTGTTCATTTTTATTTATTTTTTCTCTTTGTATTTTGTTGCTCAGCAAATAAACGCCATTATTAGAATTATTATTATTATTTTTTCGGAGACCAACAAATTGTAGTCTGAATTTGTTAACAACATCAGGTAGCGACTTCGACTACTCAGTATTTTTTAATCTTTCAATTGTTCCAGGTAAACTACACAGATTTGAAATTCCAACCGTAGTGAAACTCATCTCAGAAATTTGGTCCCCAGAATCGGGTTTAGTCACCGCAGCTTTCAAGTTGAAGAGGAAAGATATACAAGATAGATATAGAAACGAGATCAAAAGAATGTATTCATCTTAAGAGGCCTTATTGTGTAATGTGTAATATCTTTAGTTTGTTTTTAATACAGTTTTGTTTGATCCAGGTTCATTCAGAGCTTGTATATGTGAATATTTTGCCCCTAAACCTCTGTACAAATCAATATCGAACACTTCAAGGGGTTTGACGGTGGCTTAAACATTCTGTGCAACTTGCGTGTGATCGTGAACTTAACTTATTATAACAAGTGTATGTAAATTGAAATTCTGATTGTTACGTCCGTTCGTGTGATAAAAGTTGCAGATTTTGCCGATATGACGACAAGGGACTGAATTGGTTGTTGAAAAACTGGATGTGTCCAATCTTTATACTCCATTTTAGATTTTAGGATAAGACATGATTTATTTTGTCATTTCAATTATTTTCTGACGCCCCCCGAAATTGTTTAAGATGTCCGTCACGGGGGGAAAGGTATCTGCGATCGAAAATTTAAAAGCTGAGGAAGGGGGATCAGTGCATCTGAGAGCGAATGTCCTTGTGTTCGATTTCCTTTAGGCTCTTTACTGACCCCTCTTCGCCTAAATGTCCCCACAAGGGAACGTTATCGTTAACTTTGCGAAACACTGACCTAGAGGGATTAGGGTCAAACAATGTCAAGAGATCGGAGAATAATTTGTCTGAAGAGATTTCCCAGTCTACTAACCATAGGCTATTCAAAAATTGGGTCGACAAAATATCAGCCTTTCTGTCGCAGTCTCAGCGGCTGCGCATTTATTCCCTGCGTTTGCAGCTGCATTAGCTTACAGAATGATGTCAGTTAAGATTCCAATTGGGTTTAAAATACAAACATCAGAAAGATGGACAATAATTTCATGCAAACATTAGTCTGAACTCTCAAATTGACTATTTAGATTTGCGTGGTTCCTTTCTGTGCCTTTGAAAAGTTTCCAAATGGTTTGACTGTAGGTGGCTAGTTAATCCTTGAACACTGCTTTGACTCAAAATCATTGAACTTTCTTAATAGTCTAGTCATATTAGCAAATTTCCCCGAAATAATCGTTAATTCTGGTTTTATTGATGCAAGTTTTTCAAGGGTATTTAAAACAGGGACGCATAAAGTGAGTACACCAATTTTTGCGGGAAAACCTTTTATTCGACAACAAAGAATGAGAAAAAGCGTTTTTTGGGATTCAGTCGAAAGTGTTGGCAGGAACGAAAAAACTCTTCCAATAAGATTTTTAGGTATTTATGAGACCTACAGAATGAGAGAATACGTAAAAGGATCCGACTAATAGTAAAAAAGTTATGGCCGAAAACCTATGCAAAATGCAGGTTCTGGCACTTGTTGCTAATGCGACGATAATATCACGCAGCTACTTGAAATTCTTCAAATCCGAAGGCTTCTTACTTCGAATTAACCACAACAAAATTGGAGTCGATCGGTCAAATAGTTTTTGAGAGTTTCTAATTGTTTATCCCAAAACACCTGTCTTTCGGTCATCACTACTAGTTCATTGAGCAATATTCGTTCAAACGGGATTTTATAGTAAAATACAAGAGTTTACCTTGCCGATATGAATCTTAAGCCATTCCGAAAGCTAATAAGAACGAAGGGTTGCAGTAATTGAACAGATTCGCTACGATATTCGAAAAGCATACGTTATTATACACATTTTAACACAAATGGGATGTCTATAACCTTTTGTTGAGAAGAAAAAAAAATATTTTCAACATTTCTTCATACTCTTGTGTATACATATTTAGAGCTGAAATTTTTAAATGGTCATAGATGAGCCTTGAAGAAAAAAAAATTCAAACTGAAATGCGCTGAACTGATTATAAAGTGAGCGCAAACTAAAGTATTAATATAGCTTACGTGTCTAAAAAGAAAAAAATAGTACACAAATATCAACCAATTGTAGCGAACTGACCGTCTGAAATTAGGCAAAATGCTCGGTATTAGTCCCTAATACAGTATTTAAAGTTTCAGCATTGTATCTTGTATAATTTTCAAGAGTATTTTGTTTATAACAGATTTGATATGCCTCCAACGTTTACTTGACATTTGTCAGTGTCAAGTTTAGTGGTATAAAGATCCAGTAAACCAAGAGGCGTCGTAGCGTAATGGGAGGGATCGACGATTGCAGAATCGGAGGATGGAGGTTCGAATCCACAAACCCCCTTTCTTCTATTAATTTTTTTCTATATTTGGAGAATAAATGCTTTTTCATATTACGTGTACTTGTGCAGATAAATAACAATACGAAAAAATAAGCAGCATTATGGTTGCTATGGTTAATAAATACAAAATGCAATGAATCTTTCATTCAGTTTCCTTCTCTATGCACAACAATACAACAATTTGATTTTTTCTATATTTAACTTTCACGTTGTCTTAGGGCATCCTCTTTCCCATCACTCCCGAAAATGGATATTACCTTTGCGTGATGCTGCTATAATACAAACTATGCAAAAATGTCTACGCTCTTGATGAAATGAGCATTTACGCTCATCAGTAACATGATAAAATTCAAAAGCTGTGGGTTAGCTCACTTAATTTTATAAGTATCCTCTACGGCTTCAAGAGGTACCTAATAAGACCGCGTTCGAACACTTGAGCGTATTATCACAAACAAAATTTCGGATGTCTTTCATTATTGTTGGTTAATGATTAGAAATTTTATCAAAGTAGTATAAAAAAATTATAAACAATCATACGTATACCTCCGGTTTCCTGTTTGCAAGCTTATATTGTTTATTATATTTATCGCAATAAAAGTACACATAAGATGAAAAACCATCTATATATCCAATTAAAAAAAATAATAACAGAAAAAAAGAGCTTTGTGGATTCGAACCCCCGTCTGCGGTCTGCATTGTTAATCCTTCCCATTACGCTACGACGCCTGTTGGTTCACCGGATCTTTATACCACAATTCTTGACACTGACAAGTGTCAAGGGAACATTGGTGGGGCATATCAAATTTGTGATAATGAACAACTAAAATACTGTTGGAAACTATACTAGATACAATGCTGAAACTTTAAATAATGTACTAGGACTAAGGGACTAATACCGATCCTTTTGCCTTTAAGGCTCATCTTTGACCGTGTAAAAAGTTTAGCACTAAATATGTGTACACAAGAGTATGAAGACATCTTGAAAAAAATTGTTTTCTGCGCAACAAAAGGTGATAGAGACATCCGCTTTGTTTTAAAATGTGTTTAGAAACGTATGTTTTTCGAATATCGTAGCGAATCTGTACAATTACTTACAAATACGGAATGTTCGAATTTGCTTAGAAGAAAAAAATTACAATTATTTTTCGGAATGGCTTGTGATTCATGTTGGCAAGGTAAACTCGTGTATTTTTCTATAAAATGATCTTTGAACAAACCCGGTGTATTGCTTAATAAACTAGTAGCCGGAAGACAGATGTTTTGGGATAAACAATTAAAAATTCCAAAAAACTACTTGACCAATCGACTCCAATTTCAAGGAGCTGCGTGAAATTATCGTCGCATTAGCAACAAGTGCCAAAACCTGCATTTTGCCTCGGTTTTCGGCCATAACTTTTTTACTATAAGTGGGATCTTTTTCCGTGTGGCCTCATAAATAACTAAAAATCTTATTTGAAAATGAGTTTTTCCGTCCCTGTCAACACTTTCGATTGAATCCAAAAAAACACGTTTTCTCATTCTTTGTTGTCGAATAAAAAGTTTTCCCACAAAAATTGGTGTACCCACTTTATGCGTCCATGTTATATATACCCCCTTGAACAACTTGCACCAATAAAACCAGACTTTACAATTATTTCGCAAACGAGTGGTTTTCGTCTATAAAGCAATTCTCAAAATATTTGTTGCACTTTGTTGAAGTCTCTCTGGAATTGAGTGGACCTAAAATAAATGTAGTGAAGCTTTTATACAGGTTCTGATTTTCGAGCCTGACATGAAATAAGCAGTTTGTTAAGATGTTTATACTGCCAATTTGTATATAATGCAATAATGATTTGTAAATTATGATAATATTTACTGTACCATAGATATTTTAAATATCACACATACTATTATGGTTTTCTATTGCTCTGAACAACTTTAAATGACAGTTCAAATAAAAACCAGCCTATTTAATGCGTTTTAATTTTTGTAATCCTTTACTGTCTCTTATGTAGATCTAGGCTAAGAAGCTACTTTATAGCAACTCAATCTGATTATTCCAAGATATATTATAAAGCTTGTTAATCTGCTTTATAAAGAAATTACTATACGACGTTTTTTCTCAAAACAGTGTGGAGAGACTTGGCCATTTGATCGCAATCACTGTAATGTCAGTGTCTGCCGTCAGTCTGTCACGTCTGGTGGCTCAGAAACCAAACACTTTGTAGAGGAAATAAATTTAGACGATGCGAAAAACTCGCATTCGTACGAGAAATTTTAACCTCTTTTTTATATAATCACGTTTGTTGGACCTCCATTAAAGTGCATAATAGTAATAATCTATAGATCAAATTGTACAATGACATTACAAAAATTGTATAGCCACTACAAAATGAAATATTGCGTCTAAATCACCTTAACGATAGTAGGTTACCTCCGACGTGTTTTTTCTTGTACGAGTATAATGGTTATGTATCTTAAAACAGCTACAACCTGAAATTATTACAGCTCACATAGAACTCATCTAGGACATATGGTTCTGACGGTATTAGTGGTCTCTTTAAGTTTATGTAAACTGTTTGTTTTTACTTTCATTTGGTCATTTTTTTTAAAATAAACTCATATATATAGGGCTTTTTTTCTGTGGAAGATAATCTATGTATTGGTTAATTAACATTGTATTTTTATCATAAACAGTTTGCACCTAAAGTTCGTATAAATGATTATTTTTAAAAAACAATATGACACTCATACTCATATTTCAACTGCTTGTAGGACTCGTCAAAAGAAGTTGATATACCAGAAAACACCTATATAAAAGTTCCATAATAAAATAAATAGTAAAGGATTAAAAATTTTAAAAAATAAGATTGTTACTACACAGGTTTTTTGATATACTCGAGTACAATCTTACCGTTTTTGTAATGGTTTATCCAAATTTGGCAATCTTTTTGTGTTATTGTTTGGTTTTCAGTACGAGTTTTTGGTTCTATCATTTGTATGTCTTTGAATAGTGCGTATACTTTCATTTGTCTGATTATCTTGAGTGAAAAAATGCCCCATGTTTACGAAAACTATGAACTAGGCGACATAATACTAATATACGGGGAGTGTCAACAAAATGCAGCCGCTGTATGCGGAAAGGTTTTCTTTAAGAAATCATCCGGCCTCACGGATATTTGTAAATTTAGTTATTAGGTCATGCTGGAAGACCTGCTCAACCTGAAATGTTACAAATTGAGGGAGACATCTTAGAAATGGTCGAAGACGACCCAAGAATGAGTGCTAGAGCCATAGCAGCTCAAGTTGAAGTTTCTCATAATAAAGTGTCGAAGACAATACGACAAGAACATTATTATCCTTATCATTATCAACTGGTAAAAGCGCTACGACCTGAAGATCATCCTAGAAAAGTTGCATTTTGCCAGTGGCTTTTAGAACAGTTCGGCAGAAATGAAAATTTTACGAAATTAATTTTGTGTAAAGACGAGGCCTCATTTACACGAAGGGGAGTGGAGAATTTCCATAACAATCATGTTTGGGCAGTAGAAAATCCGCATGCTGTCAAAAGAACTCATTTTCAACATAGATTTTCATTAAATGTGTGGGCTGGCGTGGTAAATGGCATGTTTATTGAACCATGCTTTTTTACTTGGATTTTCTTCGACACAATCTGCCATAATTATAAGATGTTCCTCAAAATGTGAAACAGAATATGTGGTTCCTACATGATGGGCCTCCACCACATTTTAGACGAGAGGTTCATGAACATCTAAATAATAAGTTTTTGAATAGATGGATATGGCGCAATGGACCCATTTCTTGACCTGCTCGCTCCCCGGACTTAACGCCTTGCGATTTTTTTCTGTGGGGCTATTTGAAAGAGTTGGTGTGTCATGATGGAGAAGTAAATACTCTGGAAGAACTTCAACAGCGCACTGAAAATGCTTATGATTTAATTCGTGGACACCAGGATTTAATTTTCGAAGCTCGTAGTCTTGGATACACCGCGTTAATCGAACAAATGGGGACAATTTTGAACAGTTTTCATAAAAACGGCATCCATTTAACTTGTTAATGATTTTTTTAAAATAATTTTTAATAATGTAAACTAACTCTCTCATTATGCAACTTTTATATAGGTCATTTTTGGTATATCAACTTCTTTTGACTACAAGCTGTTAAATGACTCAACTTTGAAAACACCCTGTATATTCTTGATGTTTTCAGTTTTAAATACTGCCCTGCAAGTTTCGTTGAAATTCAGACACTTTATCAGACGAGCTGCTCTTTTTTGAACAACATTTTTTGAATAAACCTATTACGTCCCCAACAAATAATCCCATACTTTAGAACACTTTCAAAATTAGCATAGTACAAATTTCATAGCCGAATTATTTAGACATCTTGTTAGCGTAAGAGGCATCAAGAGGTTTTTTGCTCCGGAAACTTATTTCCTTTTTTCATTCATCTTAAACAAAAATATTCCTTCATTTGTCTCAATTAAAAATCATTATTTTTGAGGTTGCTCTGATTAAAAATCAAGCCTTCCCCTACTGCTTAGTTTATAGGGTGTTTGAAAAATGGACGGAGATATTCTAGAATGTGATTCCTTGTTAAAAATGTTTCTATAAACATAGGTCCGCCAAATAAAATTATGTGAATAATTCTTTTCTAGAAGAACTGACGCGATAATTTTAATCTATATAGGGCTAAATTAGCCTCATAATACAACAAATAAGATTGTCAAATTTCAACAGAATGAGTAAATATTTTTTAAGATATTGTTAAAAAAGGCAAGAAAATCTTTAAATTTATTACCCTGTATCTTGAAAACCGCATTTCCGGACCCATGTTTATAGAGACTTTTTTTGACAAGGAATATCTCCGTTTATTTCCCGAACACCCTGCATTTTGAAGCAGGTTTTCATCTTGCTTTGTTACGTCTGTGAGATAAAGAGGACCTACTTTTAAAGACAATTGGGACAATTTCAAGTGTGGTACTTTCTGTAAAAAAAATAAAAAAAGCAGACATCCAGCAAGGCTTTTAATGGTCCAACACTGATTGAAGATTGTTAAAATAGCTTCACTAGATATTAATGAAACACATATATGTATATGAAAAACATTTATTAAATAGTATATTTTAATATGTTTATGAATATTAAACAACCATAAAGAATAAAAAATGCAGTCTACATCAGACAAAAGGTTTTATATCAAATATGAGTTATGAGAATGGAAAATGGTCAAAGACCAGTATGTAACAAAATGAAATGAAAATGCCTTTTGGAATGTTTAGACTTATGATCTAGTGTATTTTCCCCAAATATGTAACATAAATACTGATGCTATGAAGAGGAGTGACATCACCAAGACTGGAACTGGTCCCCTAGAAAAAATAATATAATTAGTGTTACAAAGTAATCAAATTTTTGTGTCTTCTGAATTTTTATCTTTTGAATGTGTCCGGTTTGTTTTATTTAATATTGATGCTGAGTGTGCACTTTTTTGTTTGCTGTAATATTTTTTTTTTTTTACCTATGTGAGTGCTTTTGCATGCCCATCAACATCAATAAAGATTATTATTATTAATACTAATCCCATCCAATAGTGATATTATTGGTCTGAGTATGTATATATTAAAACATTTGCTATCTTTCTCCGAACTTATTGGTTTGAACTATTGACACAGTAGATTCAAGTAATGAATAATAAAAAAGATTGAATAAAATGTAATTTAGATCAATCCTTTTGAAGGAAAACACATTATTCAATGGCAATAGTGATCATGTGCTTTGAGAGAAACACAATATAAATAATAAGCAAGAAACCAGCAATTCTTCTTAAGGCAATGGTAATAGATACCTAGTGGTTTTGCAAACAAAAATATTTACTCAGTAAGATTAAGGGTAACACTGAATTGGAATATCTAAATATATTTCATCTAAAGAGTAGCAGTTTGACAAATCAGCTAACAGATGTTCAGATAAATCACCCAATATAGAATATGTAAAGAATATATTTTATTACTAATATAATATATGATACACTTACACTTTGATTCCAGGAGAATCATCCGTGTAGAACCTCCACATGCCCCCTGTGCCAGCTCCTGTGTTTCTCCTTGCTGTTGTTGTAGTCGTAGTCTTCCTTTGCCTCACAGTACCTCCAGTTGAAGACCTGGGGGCTACTGCCTTAGAGGGCGACCTGCTCGCTGAGCCTACGCTCGTTGCACTTGAGGCCGCAGGCTGAAAATAGGCCACATTAGAAAAATACAATTGCCCCCGGAGACTCAAAATAAAAAAAAGGAAAATAACCTCTGAATGAATGAAAAGAGTTATATCCTGAATTTTATCCGACTTACCATTGTTTTCTACTTTAAATACAGTCAAAAATGGTCTAGAACACGAGACAACTGCAATGCTTATTAACGTGTATTCCAAAAAAGTTGCTATTTGGCGAAAAAGCGAACAGTTATTCGACCACGTCTACAAACGTCATCACATTTTGTTGTCAACGTGACACTCGTCCTGGCGGCGTTGTCAAATTGCTTATGTTTCAGCAACATTAGGAAAGAAGTGTATAATGAACCGGTCTGCATGGGTTGCCTTCATTGGGATATGAGACCTCATTGCCATATTATTTATATTTCTCGTGCGCCGGAACATGGAACTTGTAAAAACTGAATACAACCACACTGGTGTTACTGCATGAGGCTCCTATTTTTCTGCTGAATTATTTGATTCAAATTCTGAATATAAGCAATACGTTTGGTTTCAAGAGCAACATATATCAGGAATTGAGTAAAATCTATAATTCCTTGCGTATGGGTATTTCACGGTTTTGGCGGGTCGCAGTAAAACTATAGGATTTACTTTAATACATCTACCTCCACGCATACGTATGCAATCGCCCTCTATGCACAGACGTTTGTTTGTGTACGCTTACAAAAATACATTTTTTAGTTTTGTATCGTTTCTCGCAAATTTGCTCGTCGACGTGTGCTGTCAATATGACACCATGCTTTCCAAGGGCGTGCGATGTGAACTTATCTTTGTTGATCTTCGATATGAAACATGTGGTCTTTATTGGAGTATATTTAGAAAGTCTACAAGAATCAGTAGCAGTTGAGTTTCGAATCAAGTTGGCAGTCTGTAGTTTCCCTTAGGGAAATCCATCAGCTCCGCCTACGGTACAGTAATCCAATCTGTTTACCTATTTCGTATGACATTATGACGTAACCGCCAAAAGTCATGGAAAGAACTGTACGTTGTAACTCACAAAGAACTACGATAGCGAAATTGCCGGTAGTGAATAACCAGCTAAACAGTATCCAACTATTTTTCACCATGCTCTACGGAAAATGGGACAACAAATTGCACCTGATTAACTAGTACCGTTCATGATATCCCACATCGGCGAGTGATATACACAGCTCTGACGGATGAGTAGTCAGGTTAATATTAAGAGAGTGACAGGCGCAGTTTATAGTTGTAATTTATTCCAGGTTTTTGTACTCATCAAACAAGCAAAACAAAATATGGCTCTATCTATCTGGCATTGACGGATCCGTGAGAATTATGTGACCTCTGCCGATATGGGGAATTTTATGCTACTTTTGAAAGCGACTGGTGCCTCATTCAGCCCAACTGCTAGGTTAGGATGTTTTCATTCTGGTTGTATTTGTGGAAAATTTACCTTTTTCGCTCAAACAGCTCTCACTGCGGGTTTCTATGATATACACACATAGTCTTTTCAGATGAATAAATAACACCCTCCAAATGCTTCCTCCATAATTGACCTAGAAATCATGTTCATGGTACCCCTTCGGAAACATTGCACATTGCCATTGTTACCAGATGCTTTTTGGTTGAAATGTTGGTCAAAATTGTATCACAATTACATCAATTTTACGATTCATAAATAATTAATTGAGGATCTTAGTAACAAAATATGCCCGTACAGCATTGGGGTTCTGTATTTCCTCCATTACCAGCCCACTTTGTACCATTTTTATCCAAATTCACTCGCGATAACGTAGGCTCGACGGTTATTGAAGCTTACACTAACAAGCATTAAAAATTTATTAGACTTGTTACTTAGGCCCGTATCGTCAGTCGTCCCTACAATTGTAAGGCGCGTTTATGGCCTCCTTGATTGTCATACTCCTTTCTCTCCTTCAAAAATTTCTAGATTACATTTGTCCCGTGGCAGCGTCAGTGCTCTAGTATTGTGAAGATATGTTTTCTTTTTAAATTGTAGGAAATTTCCGGCTGATAAAACATGATATAACTCAAAAGCAAGCACAATTTGATGCAAATAGATGTTTGTGACATAACCTCAAAATAGAGTTCTGACACGGAGAAGTAGAAAACTATGACAATCAAGGAGGCCATAAAGGCGCCCTACAATTGTAGGGACGACTGACGATACGGGCCTTAGTTATGCTATCCAAGATACACTTCCTCGCTAGTTGCGTGGCGGCAACGTCGCACAGAATAACCAACATGAGAAAAAAGTTTGTCACATATCTCATTTTTGACAGTCTGATCGTTTGTTTACAAAGATGACATGACTGACAGGTGACAATCCCTTTCGACGAATGATTGACACCAAAATAATTTTAAATAATGTACTTTTTATCAAATTTCTGCCGAATATGCATTCGAACTGGCATAAAATTACTAGATCTGGATACCCTTGATCTCGACGATGTGAAATTAAGTGAAAAACTTCAAGCTTGCACCTCTATGGTAGTTTTTTATTGATAAATATAAAATTTTTTCATCTGACCTTATTGATTTTCTCTTCCCAGGTCCTCAATGAAGATAAACTTCCTAAGGAAATATGTATGCAATGCCTCGCAAAGCTTCGGGTATCCTATCAGTTCCATCTCATGTGCAACAAATCCACAAAAATCCTTCAAGGATACTTGACCTCCCTCTTATCAGGTCAAGAAGAAAAACTCAACAATTTTGCCAGTACAGACTTGAGTGTGGTAGTTACACCTTTAGAATGCCATGAAGATTGTCCAAAAAATACTGAGAGCGAAAATACAAACACAAGTAGTGCTAGTGTTAACACTAGAGATGCAAGAGAAAGTTTTTATCACAGAGAAAGGCGTAAAAGGATAACTAAAGAACAAAGATGTTCCTTGTTGAAAAGGCTGCTTATACCATCAGAAACATCAAGTTCTTGTACAGAGAACTTGTTACTCAATCACTTTCATGGTACAGCTGATTCAAGTGAGGCATTCAAAGGTCTAAAGAATATAATCAATTTTACCAAGAACTATGAATTTGGTGGCAGTGTAGATAAAAATTCCAACTATGACATCACTCCCTTGGATAAGCTCAAAGCTTTTTCACTAGATTATTTTAGGAGAGACTTTTCGGAATTTAAAAATACAATATTGTACATTATAGAAAATAAGGATAGTGATAGTGGGAATAGTGATTTTGAAGATGACTGTTTTGATCCAGTACCTGGGATTATTAAGGAGGAACCATTTGAGGAAGTCATTGTTGAACCTGATGTGAAAATCAAAACTGAGTTGGATTATGAGGAAGGTGAATATCAAAATGAAAATACTAGTGAGTACTTCCTAAATTATAATGAACAAGTACAGGTGAAAGAAGAAATAAAGGAAGAATCAGAAGATTGTCATGAGCCAAGTATAGATACCTTCTCAAAAGACTGGAATTCTGATGTTCCATTGCCCCCCACAGAAAACAGTGATAACAGTTTTGCTGGTAGTTCAATGGACTACCTGAATCATTTTGTTGGAAGTTTTGCAAGTAGAAGGACTTTTTCATCAAGCAATGTTAGGTGTAGAACTAGGAATAATCCTTATATCAATCCTATGTTAAAAGCTCAGTTTCTAAATAGAAGTTTTAGATGTACAAAGTGCAGTAGGTATTTCAAAAGTCCTGGATATTTGAAAGCACACTATTCCAAAGTCCATTAAGTTAGATACCTATTATTTATTTTACAAATTGTCTGAACTCCAGAATTCCTTTGTTATAAAAAGGGACCATTTTTTATTAGAGGTTTCTTAAAATGTCATGACAAACTCCCATAGGAGATTATCAAAATCAAGTTAACATGACATTGCAAATACTAGATTTTTATATTTTGATGAATTATTATTGTTTTAGTTCTTCTTGAGAAGAGATTGTAGTAGAAATTTACTTTTGGTAAATTTTGACAATAAGTATTAGTTGACTGAGATCAAAAATGATACCTACTGTCTATTATCTTTGTATGACAGTAATTTTTGAGTTTTCTCAGGGATTTTAATATTATCCAGGATATAAACTTTGTTATTTTATATCATTTTTACTTTATATATTCTGATCTGACTATAAAATGTATATATATTGTATGAATATAACTATGGTTTACATTATGTGCAAATTCTGGAATTTAAAGCCTTCTGTTCATTTTGTAAACTTACAACAAACTATTAGTTAATATATTGTTGATAGAGAAAAACCATGTTTATACGATATTAGGTAACTGAACATATGAATATTCCTCATAAAAACTGAATAAGCTATTCGTATTTGAACATTTGAAAAAAATTAAAGCGCTCTGTTATATCGGTTGCATAAGCCGTGCGAGTCTGGTTGCATAAGTCAAACTGCATCTTGTTTCTTGTCAAATATGTTACGCGATGTTGCCACGTCAAAATAAAATAACATTCAATAGTAAACAAATGTTTTTTTATTTCTTCCGACAACCACAAGAAATAAACGTATAAATCTTCCTTAACTTACTCACTGGGAGCTCCAATTCGTACTACAGCTACGTCCGCGAAGGTGACGGAACAATGCATTGTAGTGAAATATAGTTGATATACAAACCAGGACAAATTGCTTTATGAAATTACATATTAAAATTAAGCTTGAAATCGAAGAGGCATCTGTTTTAAAGATAAAAGACAGTTGGGTGCACTTCCATTGTTGTGTGGTAACATCAAAGAGTATAGTCTTTTCACGAGTAACTACTACAATAGAATAACAGTTGATTGTGTAGTGATATTTCAAAATTCCCAATACCGACAAATGACACATAATTCTGACGGATCCTCCAACGCCAGGTAGACAGAGCTGTATTTTGTTTAGATTTTTTTGTACGTTACAGATTCATTTAATACATTCTAACAACTCTTTTATTTAGAAAAGAAAACGCTACAAGCAAGTTTTACTAGATGTAAGCCTCATTCATTATTGCCGACGTTACAGACTAATACAAAGATATGTCACTTGCTGATCAGCTGTTCACCTCAGCAGACGTATAAACGTGATGCACACTCGTGAAATAGTATTTAGTTGTGATATGTTATTATGCTTTTTACGGCTATGTATGATGGACCCTCCTCTTATTCAAAAATAAGGACGCTGGGGCGGTAATGCTTAAGTTACTTTTGGCTCTGCTTTCAATGACCATACTATCTGCTTAGTGATGAAAGCTGCAGTTAAATAAGCTTGTATGTTTTCTGATGAACAGGACAAGGTAAAGGTACTACTCACAAAGGCGGAGCTGTTAAACACCCATCATGGGATATGGATACCAAGAGTTAATAAACGTTCTGGTATTAAATTTTTGGTAATTTTTCCTGGTTTTTAACACATTCACAAACGAGGTATCTCCAAACTTCAATTTCTTCGCGAGGATCTGGCAACGTTGTCAAACTGCAAATTCCTCCAATTTTCCATTCAACACAACATTGGGAAAACGTTTATTGGTACATTTTCCGATATTTGGGGGTTGTTTTTGCGGTTTTCGAGAAAAATGGAAATTGCAAATGCGGTGGGTACAACCCCTGGTGTTGTAAGAAATCCCAGAATTATGGAAGGTGTAGGTGCACGGGTTATTAGAGGTCCAGACTGGAAATGGGGTAAACAGGTGAGGTTAAGTTATTCATTTGTTTTTAAACATTTTTTAAAAATAATTTACAATTTCTCCATGATAATTTTTTGTCATTCGAAAAAACGTTGAATTGAATGATGCTTAATGCTTAATGGTTTTATGTATGTCATTATTGTGGCGAAGAAAAAGTTTCTTCAATAGAATAAGCCTATGCCTACTCTTCTTTAAGGTTTCAGTAATAGATTAATAGTAGGCGATGGAATAAAGACGCTTCTGCATCACAGCAAGTTCTAACTGTTCGTTTCTAGTTAGTAAAATGCAAGAAAAGTTTTTCAGGTTTTGTGTGTTATCAGAAATCAGAGTTTGTATTGATGTAAGTACTTGGTAATTTGAAAGTTGTAAGATATATTCTCCTTGTATTTCAAGTCTAGGTAGTGATGTCTTGATTGCTGAAATACAGTATCAACTTGTTAGAATTTTGAAGGTAATGTTAGTGAGAGGATCTAAATAGTTGTACTTAAATCCTTCTGGTACCTGAGCTTGTAAGTTTTAAATATAGTCTAGGTTTTTGAAGCTAGATATTGTTGTAGATGTTGATTGTTAAAACAGACTAATGGCTAGTATTAAGAGCATTATTTAGAAGAATTCATTCAATAGGTATGATGCTTCACATGCATTGTATCTAATCTTTAATTTAGATTTAGTTTGATATTTCAATTTCTGTAGGCTCTAAACAGTCATAAGGACTCCAGGCATCCATTTATGTTTCTCAAAAGGAATACAGTAGCGACTCGATAATCCGGATCAATTAAAACCAGGTGCAATCCGGACTAACGAACAATCCAGATTAGTGGGAATCATAAGCAAAACAAGTTCTTGATATTACAAACATTTTTATTTCATAAAAACTGAAACATAAATTATCTACATAGCTAAAATAAGCAACATAATAAAAAAGTAACCAAAAACTTAGTTATTAAAAAAATCAGTCATTTTTGTTTGCCTTTTATGTTCAGAATGCAACTAATAACAGCTTCTTCTCTGAAGTCTTTTAAGGCAATGATTGAGGTAAGTGCAATATTGTTGTCTTCTGTCCATTTAATCCCTGCTGTAAAATGCACAATTGCCTCTTCATGTTAAACTTTTGGAACAGTAAATTGGTTTCCATTTTGTGTTTCTACATCACTCCAAGATTTCCCCTTCTGTAAATTGTTCAGATGATGTTTTTTCTAACATTGATGAAATGTCCTCAATAGTCTGCATTTGCTGCTTTATTTGTACGCACAATAAGCTTAATGGTATTGAATCTTCCGGGTCATAATCTATGTTTTAAGCTAACAACTTTTTCCAACACTGTTCTAAAGCAGTTGTTGACACTTTTGTCCATGTATTATGTAATAAGTAAACTGCGTCTTTTCGATTGAAGTTTTTTGAAGATTTACTAAGGTCATTGTTTTCTTGCTCCATAGTACAGAAAATGTGAGCCAATAAACTTTTTCTATATAATAATTTGGTTAATCTTATGGCATTTTGGTATAACAGCTGAATCAATACCTTGCAGTTGGGTGGTAAAAGCATTGTGATTATTTTACCATCTTCAGAAACCAATTCCTTTTCACTGCAGTGGCTGGGACTGTCTTCTTTTTTCAAGAATTCCGAAACTTGCTTGAAAAATGATTATGTGTTTTCCTGTAAAAACCATGGCGTTTGTTGTTGATTGAACTTGTTAAGAACTTAATATCTGATCTGGACTAGCCAAACATGACAATCCGGATTACAGAGTTTGCGAGACAGGTCCGAATTATTGGAACATCCAGATTATAGCAATTCGAATTATCGAGTCGCTACTGTATATGATGAATATCAAGAAATTTACCTGCTCTTTTAAGGTTGTAGTAAGAATTTATAGAAGTACAGGTAGTCATCAACAATTGGGTATTGAGCAACAGCTAAGCAAGTTCACTGGCATATGAATTCTTGCTATTTGTTGAAATTATATGCTGGATTTGACCTATATTTGTGTGACACTAACACTGCAAGACACTCTTTCATTTTGGGGGCTTAATGTCAAAAGAAGTTGTCTACAACTTTTGTGGAATCATTATCATTATATTCACCATACTCGATTTGCTTTAGTGAAAAAAATTATATATTTTTGCTTTAGGACTTTCTTTGAATAAAGTTTGTGAACACCAAATAGTGTATGGTAAATCTAACAGTAATGATTTCATAATAATTGTAGATACACTAAGTCCTAAAAATTTGTAGCATTGTGTAGTATTTTGTTATATGTTTCATAACTTTACTTCCCATGCAAACTGGCTAGAAACTATTGTAATCACTAAAAATGTTGAAATTGAGTAATATTTTTGGATGCTACATGGCATATAATATTTAGATTATGAAAAAACGTGTCACTCATTTCTGTAGGTCTGTGTGTCCACTGATCCTTGATCTCTCTATAACTTGAAAAGCATCGCTCAGATTTTGATAAAACTTCCAGACAAGGTTTCTGCTATGCAAATTACAAAAAAGCTTGGTAGTATTGAAAGTCGGTCCAGTGGCGGCGGAGCGAGAGAAAAAACAAACAAATCGCTCAAACTTCGTTCTTTGACGTTTCAGATGCTCCTTTTCGGAAAAATTTGTAGGATTTAAAAATTGGGGGTTGGAGGTTGTAGATGTTGGGAGGGACTATTGTATCAATTTTTCGGTTCCAAACTCGCTAATTCTATGCACTATGTTACACTAGCTGCATGCTATGGACTGCTACGGTGCTCTCTGCATCAAGCATAGCATTGCTGATGTTGCCAACTGGTTCATGCTTTCAGTAATGGCAGGAAAAAAATTCTAGCGTGCAGCATTATCAAATGTGTAGGGACTTATTGTGGGATAGTTTGGCTCAACTTTTTTTTCTAATCAACTTACCTATATATGAAATTTTTTTCAGGATGGTGGTGAGGGCCATGTTGGCACTGTCCGCAACTTTGAGTCACCAAATGAAGTGGTAGTGGTATGGGACAATGGAACAGCTGCAAATTATCGGTGTTCTGGACAATATGACTTGAGAATCTTAGACAGTGCCCCAACTGGAGTGAAACATGAGGGCACAATGTGTGACACATGCAGGTAAGTTAATAAAAAATAGAAACAACTGTTAAAAAGGTACATATGACAACAATGTTGATGAATTATTGTCATCGCCAATTTTTTCGAAAATGAGATGTTATGTTTCTTGGATTTTATGACATGTACATCACGATAAACAAAGTCACTCGTTTCACGTCGCTCTGTTCGCTAATCTTATAACCGCCTATAACTTGAGAAGTACGGCTCGGATTTCAATGACATTTTTACACAATGTTACTAATGTGCCAAGGACGGAAAAGCGTTATAGCTTTTGAAAATCGTTCCAGTGGCGGCGGAGAATAATGCAAAAAAAACGTTCAAACTTCAGGCACTTGACTGCAGTTTTATCAATAGTAGTGAGGACTGCAACAAACAATTTGAAAATCTTTAGCTGCTACTAGAACCAGTAGAAATAGATTTATTTTCCACTGGACAAACTTTTATTAAAGTCAGATGTACTTGGTTTCATCATGACTTAGACAAATGCGCAACTTCCGCCTAAAGAAGTGAGCTAGAAAAAGTGAAACAGGATATTAATATGGCTTTATCAAAAATTAACACTGAGCTATGTGGGAAGTTATAAAAATGAACAAAATTACCAACATCAAGTTTTAAGTAGCCCAAAGTTTAGTGGTGCAGGCTCTAATAATTAATGCCCCTGGAATGCGGAAGTTCGTACTAAAATTAAAACGTGTGATTTTTTTTGTTGCTACTTAGATTTTGCGGAATCCCAGTCATACATACATGATATAACGTTACATTTCTACCATAGACAACAACCAATTTTTGGCATCCGCTGGAAATGCGCTGAATGCGGCAATTACGACCTCTGCTCCGTCTGTTATCATGGCGATAAGCATCACCTACGTCACCGTTTCTACCGAATCACCACTCCCGGCAGCGAGCGGGTGTACCTGGAACCCCGTAGGAAGACCAAGAAAATCGCTATCCGCGGCATCTTCCCAGGCGCCAGGGTGGTCCGAGGCGTCGACTGGCAGTGGGAAGATCAAGATGGAGGGATTGGAAGACGGGGGAAGGTGCAGGAGGTACAGGATTGGTCGGCGGCTAGTCCCAGGTAGGGATGCGGATGAATCTAGTTACAATCTTATTGGACAGTTTAATTTCATCAAACAGTAATGGACAAAAGTATATAGACAAATTAATATTGTGCTGTATTTCTTTTTTAACTTGTTTTATTAATACACCAACACTTACATAGTCGTGCCATAAGTTCTGTCCCATGATAATCTCATGATAAAAATGAAACAAGATAAGATATATTTATATGAAAGATATTATTTATTCGACAACATTTTTAGAATTCATAATCAAACAGTTTTATTCAAAATGTCCCCCCTTGGCCTTCACACACTGCTTCAATCTCGCGGGCCACTCATCTATCACTGCACGCACAGCTTCCAAAGGAATAGCTGCCGCTGATCGGATCAAATCCGCTTTCAGGGACTCGATATTACGGTGGGCTTTGGAGCAGGCCAACTGCTCTAGCAGGTCCCACAACTTGTAGTCTAAAGGATTGAGGTCCAGACTCCCTGAGGGCCAATCTTCCGCAGCAATGAACTCTGGCACATTGCTTTCCAGCCAGCGCTGCGTACTCTTAGCCTTGTGAGCGGGGGCGGAATCCTGCTGGTAGACCCAGTGTTGGTTGGCAAACAATGTACCACTTAAAGGCTTGACGATAGGATCCAGTATGTCGCTCTGATAGTTTGCCGCTTTTGTTTTCACGCCCTGTTTACAGAAATGGAGCTGAGTGACCCCTTCGTAGGACACCCCCCACCAAACCATGACTGACGCAGGGTGGTGGCCTCTCTCAACTCTCGGAATGATCTCCGAAGCTTCCTGTGAACTCCTTGCATACACTTTGTCATTTTGTCGGTTGAATTTTTCTTCTATGGTGAAGATTTTCTCATCCGTGAACAAAATCTTTCGGAATCCCCCAGCTGCGTACCTCTCCAAGAGCTTCTTGGATCTTGTCGCCCTGATGTGTCGCAAGGTGGCCGTAAGTCGCTGGCCCGTACGTCTCCGGTAAGCCCCTAGCCCTAGGTCTTGTTTAATGATGCGCGACATCGTCCGGACAGGAATCTTCATTTCCCTGGATAGGATCTTCTGCTTCCGGAGTGGATTCCTTTGAATCCTGGCTTTTACGGCTTTGATGGCTGCTGGAGTCCTTACTTGACGAGGTCTTCCGCTTCTTGGCCTGTCATCAACAGAGGACGTCTCATTGTACCGCTGAATGGTCCTAGACACAAATTTACGCGATATTTGAAGGCCGCGTAAGAGTTCAAAAATCTGACTAGCACTGTGATTACACTTATGTAAAGCTATCACTGCAATACGGTTCTCTGCCTTGCCCCACTCCATCGTTATGCTTCGAGAGATCAATACAAACTGAGGTATATGTAATTACCCGAAAAGCGCTTAATCAACTGACACCACAATGTAAACAATCGGACAAGTATTAACAGGTCTACACTTGTTTGAAAACGAGGGACAGAACTTATGGCATGACTATGTATACATAAATAAATTCATTAGACTCCCTTCAATAAAAAATTAATTGAAAAAAACTGGAATTATGACGGACAAAAATATATAGACAAAGCAAAACAATTAATGTGTTAGTATTTTGTAGCATAACCATTATTATCAATCACCGCCTGGCATCGTCTCGGCATAGATTGTAGAAGTTTCTTGATATAAGATTCATCAATCTGTCTCCACTTTTGCTCTAAAGCGGCAAAAAGTTCATCCTTGTTTGAATAATTTTTATCTCGTATTTGCTTATCTAAGTATTCCCTTAGATTTTCAATGGGGTTTATATCGGGAGACTATGAAGGCCATTTGAGAACTGCTATTTTTTCTTACAGAAAGAATTTCTTTGTGAGATTTGAAGTGTGCTTCGGGTCATTTTCTTGCTGGAAGATTGATCTTAAGGGCATATTGTCTTCCATGACATGCTTTAGTATTTCTGTGTATACAAACTTATCCATAATGCTATTCTATGTAAAGGTCCCATCCCAAACCCCGAAAAGCACCCCTAAACCAGAACAGACCCGCCTCCATGTTTGACAGTGGGCAAAGTGAACTCGCGGTTCAATCTTTGTCCACTAGTACGTCTAACGTAATGAACACCATCTGATCCAAATATATTGAACTTGGATTCGTCACTGCAACATACCCTCTTCCAGTCACAGATGCTTCAATCAAGATGGAACCGTGCAAATTGTAATCGGTCCTTACGGTTTTTCCTTGAGATAAGCGGCTTCTTACTCGGGCGACGTGCAAATAACTTCAAATCATCTAATCTTCTACTTATAGTTTTCGTAGAAACACTGACAATTCCTTTTGTCTCGATTTTTGGCTTTTATTTGTCTTGGGGTTTTAAACGGATCTTTGGACGAAATTACTTTTATTAATCTAACTGATCTAGCATTTAGTTTTCTAAGCCGGCCACTTCTCTTAGAGGCTTCCAAGTTACCTTTTTGTTTATATTTGTTCAATATTGCCCAAACTGCTTTACGCTTCAGCTTCAAATTTTTGCCAATGTCGACTTGACGTGGCCATCTTTGTATAACTCAATGATCTTAGTTTTCACATCGAAAGAAATTTCTGGACCACGCGGCATGGTCTTGAAATCACTCTAGTTATTCCGCAATACTTGAACATAAACTAATCCTCTTCTGACACGAAACTGTACTAAACTAATGTTGAAAACAATTTGTCTACATATGTTTGTCCCTTATAAAAAAGTGTTTATATTCAGACTTGCATTGTGTTCATTGCAGATAAATATTCATATTTGTCTATATACTTTTGTCAATTACTGTATTTGGACGGTAGTAACTTGAAGGTGATTCTTTATCAAGCCAAAAGCTATCATGACAGTGGAGCAGGTCTGCGTTCATTGAGATTGCAACACTTCTTTAAAGAAAGCACCTACTTTACAAACACTTTCTGGCTTATGTGCAGCAAAGTACCTCTCGCACGTAGGAGTCAATGATTAAATAGCAATGTACAGGACCCATCCCTGTTGCGTAAACAAGCAGTTAAATGGGATTTTTATACTCATGTGTCATATTTCCTTCTTCTTAGCTTGCGGCAAAAGTAGTCTCCATATAGTATCCTACGGCATATACTTATTAGTGACACGGCCGCTACGTCATTCCTTCATGCTGGTTGAATGGTGTGGTATCTAAAGTTTATGAAAATCTCATTTATGTCCCGTCAAAACAATAATAGTCAGCGTGTCTCAATTCGAAGATATCAGTATATGATTCCGCCGCGCGATGTGCCTGCCAGACAGACCCGCCTGACTTCGGCCTCTCATCTTAACCGTGTTGAACTTCGTACGCCCAGAACTGGTTGATACGACCGCTCCTTTGTCCTAGGGCGTCGAGAAGCAATCCACAAAAAGAGGCTTTTATCCGTTCTACTAACCTTAGGCAGTTCAAAAATCGGATTTGCAAAGTTTCTCTGGGATCCTCATCGCAGCCGCGGTTCCTGGCATCTAGTCTTCTGCCTGCGCGGCTGCTTCCGTGTAAACAATGCCTAGGCAGGTAGCGGCAAGCGTGTAGAATCGGCTCATGATTATTTTGACACGGAGTAAATCAGGTTTGGATACACTCTAGTGCGACTTTTGAACAAACAACTGCCAGATTTCTGCTTATTTATGTCTTATAGAAAACATTATGTAACAAGTATCAAGTGAATATTTGACCACCTGATTTTTCTTATTATAAGGTAATAGACTCAGAATATTCATTCCCTTTTCGACATTTTTCCACCCCTCTTCAATTTTGAATAGTGTTAAGGCAAATGATGAGACGTCCTCAGAATAAGAGAGCTTTATGCGGAGGAGCCTCTATGGATTTGACCCTAAGCAGTCACAGAGCTGGCCGATCTTGAAAACTAGCGCAGAGGCGTAAACAGTATAGCTGGGCTGACTCGTTTCATTTGGCGATACGATTCCATGGATTCGATTCCGGTCTCGGAACCGATTCCTTCACAATTCTTTTCTTTTCTAAAATATACTAACAATATTAATGAGTGGTACCCAGGAACGACACCGCAGTAGGAACCGATTATCAATTCCACTGGTCTGGACTTGATGGTTTCTATACCGGCACTTACGTACAGATTACAGAAAATGGGTTGGCTTGCTAGCTTTAACGCCGCTGCGCCCCATATGGGTCTATTGTGATCCCACATACACACTGTCTAAAGCATTGATTCTTCAATCAAAATTTATAGCCTTGTCACAGGTCTTTGCATGTAGCTTTCCATTGTTAAACTTGTGATTACTAGTATATGACACCGAGGCTTGCCAGGCCGTTGCACTCTTTGCAGAGTCGCAAGAGATGCACTGGCGTTTCCTTGTGTTCTCTGTAGAAACGGGAGGTGTCCTCTTATGTCAGACACAAGAGCCTCATATGTTGCTATTTATTGACATTGTCTTGTTTGGAGACCCACTATGGCCTTGCTATAGAATCCTAGTAGGTCCTCTGTTTTCAATTTTTAATGAACACTTTTGCCTGCCTCTGCCTTGATTGTTTTTTCTACTATTTTAGGGACTTTTTCTTAGTCATGTTTGATGCGTATTCTCGCCACACCACAGAAGTGCTCTGGACCTATACCTATACCTTTTTGTGCCCTTCGTGTTCTGATTCCCAGAGCAATGTGACCTTGATTCGATTACCCACCTCTTTGAGAGCACTAAGTAAGTCCACCGTCAGGGTTATTACATAAAAAACCTATAAGACGTAAAAAATAAAATAAAAAAGACAACAAAATGTCAGTGTTCAGGCTGCAGCGGTGGCCGCAGTAGTAGACTCTTCGGTCTCCTGATCAGTCGCCGTCGGGTTCGAATCCCGTTCCAAGAGAAATTTTTCTCTTGGCTATGGATGTTGTGACTGTCCGTAGGTGGTAGACGGTCTCTGACTGTCGAACGCGGAGGTACCACCCGGCGGATCTCGTAGGCGGAGCCAGAATGTGTGCATGTTGCATGCACACGTGTTCCCTCGCCAGAGTCCGTGTGACGTTCCCCCTGTCCCCTGTAACACCCTATAGCCCCACGGTACCCAATGGGTGTTTAGGTCTTAGGCCTTCGTGGTAGTTGGAGTTTAAAAAAAAACTTACTGCCTAGGTAGTTCCTAGTGTGCAAATAGTACATTCCTCTTTTGCTCGATATGGAAACTTCCATCTATGGTCAAATGTAATAACTTTTTTACGTTTCATAAATATTCCTGTATATTTTCTCACCTGTTCACCAACCAGGGATCTTCTTTTCTGATCGCTTTCTTTTTTGAAATTCAGCAAATTTGCATATGTAATTTCCGGGTTGAATAAGAAAAATCGGATGCCGAACAAAATCTGCATAGGTACATCTCAAGTAAATGTATTTGAAACAAGAAATCAATGGAATTAACATCAACACAGATTATTTATTAGTAGGCTGAGGCTATGTTCCTATGCACTGCCGTTTCCTTCCAGCTGTATTATACAACTTACAGCTTAGACCTCCAATAATGCCATCTCTGAAGCCGATGTTACATCACTTCAGAGCCAAACATGGATAGCTGAATCATCATGACGTTTAAGCAATACGAACAGCTACGGAACGAGTACACAACAAGTGTACAATAGCTAGTGCTAAGTTGACATCTTGTAGAAAAACCTACATAACGTCACAAAAAAACTATATAATGTAAAAAAACGACAATTTCACTTCTCAAGATACGTAATAACCATGCCGGTTTTAGGAATCGGAATCAATTCCTTTAATTCCCTTTGCGGCATCATTCCTTTAGAACGACTCGTTTACAAGCGATCCGTCTAAAAAATGGCTCTCTATATGACCTACGCATTGATCATTGAGGAGAGACATTCAGGAGAAGGGAAGCGATTTGCTTGACATATGCCTGTCTCTTTTTGACTTCATTGACGAACATGGTTGATTGATATTTTCGCCCGGCGCGAATCGATTCCCTTTTCATTGTGCGTGCACCTTGAAAATCTTCCATCCATTTGTATTTTACCCTTGATCATCTGGAAATTTCCGATTGCTAGTTGAAAATGCTAAGGTAGATTCCAACTGGCGCATTTCCTTCGTTTTACTTTCCCCTTCTTTTTATCTTCCATTCTTTCTGACCTTGCCACATTCATGGAGGCAATAGGTTCATGTTATCCATTACATCAAAAACCAAACCATGTTTAGTGATATTAATCGCAATAAGAAGCCTTTTGGCTAAAATCAATATTTATTCATAATTTTGTATTTGGCTTGTATCTTATTCAGATCTGCAGCGTATATTGTATGGGACAATGGCTCTAAAAACCTATACAGAGTAGGTTTCGAAGGTATGGCCGATTTGAAAGTCGTAAATGATGCCAAGGGTCTGAACGTATATAGAGAACACTTACCTTGTTTGGGAGAGCAAGGACCAGGAAGATCAGCGCCACCTGGATTGAAAATTGGAGACCAGGTATTGTTGATTTTCATTTAGTGTGATCATGTTTGGACATATGTGTATTTGGATAACTACTAAATTTTCTGAAAATTAACACTGCCTTCTTAAAGCTCCACACTATTTTGGGGATTTTCTTGCTTACATTATTTATTAATATCAAGTCAAGTAGAGAGTAGTAACTGTTAGTGGAGAACTACTACAAGTTTTACCAGTGTGACAAATTTTAAAATATGAAGTTTGCTAAATGAAGATGCCAGCAATCTTATTGTTCTAAACGCTCATGTTCTTTCATGCGACACTGTTATCCCAGTTGAACTTAGCCTGAATTGCAATCACCTTTTCTAGTCAAATATTATGTGATACTTGTTGATTTTAGGTGAACGTTGATTTGGAGCTAGAAATTGTCCAGTCACTACAACACGGCCACGGCGGTTGGACAGATGGCATGTTTGAATGTTTAAACAGTATTGGAACAGTCGTGGGGATAGATGAAGATCATGACATTGTTGTGGCGTATCACAGCGGCAACCGGTAAGCTTTTTTTCTCAATTTTCTTGTCATTTTGGAGCATTCATCTTTTTACAGCTTGTACATATTTGAAGGAATTTCAAAGATACATTGTTCAGATGAATATGATTTTTGTTGTATAGGTGGACGTTCAATCCAGCTGTGCTAACAAAAGTGGCAACTCCGACGAACTCTGCTGGTTTCAACGAAACTCCTCAGCAGCAGTTTGCAGTTGGCGATGTCGTGCAGATCTGCTCTGACATGGAAAGAGTAAAGATGCTGCAAAGAGGGCATGGAGATTGGGCCGACGGAATGGCAGCGGTATGCTATACTTTTTATAGTTGTTTCCCAAAAATTAAAGGTGTCCCAATACGGATTTGGAAATTTAAATTTAGCAACTTGATCTAGATATTTTATATTACGAGTGTACCATTTACAGGTAATTATGGATCGTTTTATGAACAAGGAAGACATCAGAATTTATTTATGTATTTATTTTACATTAAAAAAAAATAATAACAAATTTGAATATTTGACTTTAAGCTTTACATGACAATTTTTAAAAGTCACAATCAGACTACATTTGAAAATCACATAAAAAATTTAGCTGGTTCTGAAAAATAGGAAATCCCTAAAAAAATCCATATCAGCATTATAATTTATATGAGAGGTGAGCCGATTCAGAGTGAGATTTTGGGCACGTTGTATGCTAAATCTATTACAGGACAACATGTCTCAAATTTCTGGTATTAACTGAAAAATCTATTCTTCCGAGAACTTGGGGGATCTATTATACTATACTGAGTGACAAAAAAAGGTAAACACCTACGTACGTTTATCCGATTTTAATAATTTTTGGCATATGTTCAGTGCCCCTTACTAGTAAAAAGATTAAATTTTTAGCTTGATTCGTCAACTGACTTCAGACGCTCGTTCAATAATGTGTTGAAGATCCACGATTTTGAGCAATCACAAAAAGGCTTCTAAGTAAGTTACACGAAATTTAACATTAAACTGACACCGTAAATGTACGAAAACTGAATGCTTCTTTATCACCAAACAATAGACGCAGCCACCACAAAAACCGGACCATTTTAACACTTGTTGTTCATGGCAAGATAAATCGATATGTAAAATATTCTTTAATGCTAATAAACATACGTAGGTGTTTACTTTTTTTTTTGTCACTCAGTATATTTAATAAAGATAAAGCACACGCTGAATACGTTCTTTTATCTTAAAGCGAAAACAATCCAATTATCCTCCTCATGGATTCATTCTCTAGATGTTAATTTTCCTGCTGCATTCTGTGTCGTAGATACCTTAAAAACTTGTCTTGTATGGGTTGATTGCGTTTTTGTGAATCCCGTAATATGGGCTCCAGTTGGTTGACCTTAATTAGAATAATGATCTTACTAATGATGCATAAAGCTTTTGACAATACAATTCAAGCCCCTAAGATCCCTAGATGTGCGTGATATCAGCTCCACAATTCGATTAGCCTTGTCAAGAAAATACTGGTAGTGATCTGCAAATGTTAGTTTACGATTGAGTTAGGTCTTTGACTACATTTACTCTAGGTTGTGTCTTTGATCATGTAAGTTTGCAAGTGTGGTCAAAGCAGATCATATTACTAGTAAAAATGATATAACCAACATTTATTAAAATTCCGTTTCAAATTATTCAACTGACACCATTGTACCAAAATATTTTTATGTTCCTGAAGCGTCTCACAGTCCTGACTGGCTCTAACACATCTAAAAAGTTCTAAATCATCAGCATGAAGTAAATATGTAATTTGATTTGAAAAGGCGGCCAAGGTCATTAAAAAAAACAAGAAATAGTATGGACCCAAGGTAAGATCCCTTAGGTACACCTCATTCAACACTAAAAGATTATGACAATCTTTACCTGAAGAGACAAACAAAAATGAAACATTCATTTTCGATGTGAAGATTATCGGGTTTATTCAATAAAATTTCTTGATATAGAAGGTCAAAGGCCTTAATGAAATCCGAGGAAATGAAATGCACTTCATAACCCTTATCTAAAGCATTACTTATAGAGTCACAATTGTGCAAATGTACTATGAAAAATCTATATTTTTTATCACTAAAATGATCGAATTAATATTATGGACTTAACAGAAAGATCTTTTATCAAGATGAGGTTGCGTGCTATATGACCTAGGAAATTGTTACAGTTAACGTTTTCCTGACCGCGTGATTTCTTTCTTTCTCTATGGTGATGTCTGCTGGCTTGCGACATCAAGCGATCTAATTCTATCTCACTTTTTTATACGAGGACTCTTTTCGAACGAAGTCCTTTTAAACGATTCGATGACGACTGATGAATTGAAGCAGATTATTTCAAAACATTTCTCGACTTAACATATTGATGAAATTTTGTTTTCAGATTTTGACGCCAATACATCTCTTTAATTACTTCAATTGCAAAATATATCAATATTTAACAAACATGTCATTATTCGACTGTCAAATAATTCATATTAATTACATTCCCTAATCATTCAAGCAGCAAATCATTTTATCAAAGTAAAAATGCAGTAGTTTTCAAACTACACTGCTATTGAAATGCAAAAGGCTTTCGCCGCCATCATTCAATGCTGTTTGGTTGGTTTTTGGGTAGTTAGGCCGTCGTAAAATATTTTTATTTGAGGTTTCGCCAACACGAGTGGTTGGCATCTTCAGAAAGTGTTCACAGTTCGGACCCCAGTGAGCTACTCATATGTTACTACTTGTTGATTTTCGACAATTAAAGACCGAATGTCATTTATTTTAGACCTGGACAACAATTATGATCCGAAATCACATTCAAATGACTCTATCTGAAGTCATGCAACTTTGCAATATTTCGCAGGATTTTTAATACAATTTTCTCAGACTGTTTTTACTCTTTGCTTCCTTTACGTACGACAGCGTAGTGTCTTGGTGAAGATTATTGATTTAACAGTGAAGGTCTACATGTTTTTTTTTCATAAGCAAGACGTCAGTACGCTCGTTGAGCTCATTGCAGGTTTTTGGCTACATATCTCTTAAAAGGAGCAATAAAGGTTCCTGGCTTTTAGATGCTATCTAGGTATCATTATTATATCATTGAATCTTGATAATCTCAGCGGTCATCTGTGTCGCTGGAAAGTACCGGCAGGGTTATTATGGAAAAACCCATTTTTTTGTTTTCAAAAAAATTGCGCCTACTGCATGTGAGCATGAAGTGAATGTCAGCTAGTTCAAAGCTGACATTTTATAGGAAAACTGATAGTGTATCGGCTAAAATAATAACACACAGTATAGGCATGTAATCCAGATTTAGTTCTCAAGTGTCATCAGTTATGACAAATGTCATGTATCTTGTCTGAATTATTACACATTCTACTTCCGCGTATACATCTTTAACAAGATAGAAGCAGTCCACTGCTGTTGATCAACTCCTCCAACTCTGCCACATCGACAGGACATGGGTCCAGGACGCTGATTAAGTCCAGTATCTTGGAAGCTGCAGATGAAGATAGGGGTACGGGTATAATAAATTTTATAAATGACGAAAATAGGTATTTGAACAGGTTATTAATTTTGAGCCATCGTAAATCATTGATTGAGCCAGTTACACGATCATATTTCCTTAGATTATTAGTCAAGGCGCAACAAGAATATTGAATTTTTTGTACTCTGTAGGAAAAAATTTATCCAAGCAAAGATAATACGTTATGATTCCATATAAAATTTTGGAAATACATAATTAATGATTCACATAGCGCTTTTTTGTTTTAAAACTGAGGAAGTTTTTTATAGTTTCATCCTAAAATAGCATGTTTTGATGACGCTGTTAACATGCGTGTGAAAACATAGGTCTTTGTCTATGAGTAGACCCAAACTTTTGCATACATGATAAGTTGATATGTTTTCAAGTTAGGCACGAATACTATTTCTTGGGAAAGTAGGAAGCAACAGTATGTTTCACACTGCTGAGTCCGAATATGTCTCTCTTACCCAAGGGGCATTGTTTCTAAAGAATGCTATTATTGGATTTTACGGTGGGATTTATAATCAGTCTGAACATAAAATTGCTTCAAATAAAATGATAGGTGGAATAACGAAGCACATTGATGTCCGACAAAATTTTTATTAGGAATGCTGTGTACAGATTCTACGATAGCTGATGTTATGACAAAAGGTTTAAATGGACCTAAGGTAAAAAGGTTTATCAATGAATTATCATTATGGAGTATATTAGATTAATTGTGAAGAAAACAAAGTCTGAATTAAGCGAGAGTGTTAGTGTACAGCTAAAAAGATAACGCATAATACCTATGTAAGCCTGATTTAGTTTTCACGTGTCACCAGTGATGACAACACTGTCATGTATCTTGTCTGAATAAATGAGTATTACACAGTCTACTTCCGCGTACACATCTTTAACAAGATTGAATCGGTCCACTGCTGTTGATCAACTCCTCCACATCGACAAAAACCTACGTAATGTCATAAAAAATCATATGTCACTTATATTACGTAAAACGAGTGCGGATTCTTTAGCATCGCCTTAATTATTGTTGTCAGAGAAGTGAAAAAGTTGTGTGTTTGTCGTGACATCGTATTTTGTGAGATTTTTCTAATATCTAAGCTTCATAGAAAATATGTTAGGTATTTTCAGCTTGATATCCGGTGAAAGATGTATCACCTATTTGTAAATAAAATCTAAAAATTTCAAGTGTTGAAGGTTTTGTGCTTATTTTTACAGACCCTGGGCAAGATCGGCCACGTACAGCAAATCTACAACGACAACGATCTGAAAGTGGAAGTCTGCAACACCACCTGGACCTACAACCCTTTGGCCGTCACGAAATTAGCAAGCAAAGAGGGCGCTGGTGGTGGCAAAGCGGTAGCCGCAGCGGCGGCGGCTGCCGCATCGGTTTCCTCTTCCGGCGAGAGACTTAGCGCCCTCTTGAAACGACTGTTCGAAACTCACGTGTCCGGCGACGCGAACGAAGAGTTAGTCAAGTCAGCGGCCAATGGCGATGCGCAAAGATGCGAGGAAGTGTTGAAGCAAGGAGCCACGGCGGCTGCTAGTGGAGGGGCCAACGCTACTGCTATTGGTTAGTATTTACTGCAAAACAGGTGGTGATCAATTGATCCTTTCAATTCTAATCGTGATTTAAATCAAACTATGGGGAGCCTTGGGCTCGAGCGTCGAGCTAGTAACCCGTGGCTCGCAGGTTCGAATCTCCACCTCGGATGTTGTGTGTGTTGTCTATATGACCCACGCTTGTGTAATATGAACAGGTACATCTCATCGCTGGAGCTTACATCAGTTACCAGTAGATGGCTCGTGTTGTAGTACAGTGTTGGTACTGCGGGGTTGGCAAAAAGGGTGGCGTAGTTGCCAGGCTTCGCCTTGCCACCACTAGTACTACAACTAAATCAAATTATAAATTGCTATAAAAATAAGTCGCTGAAGCAAATAACTGAAATAACTCACCAGGAAATTAAAAAAAGGAAGATACTTCATTTAAAACTACATACATTATGTAAGTTTAAAAACATAACTAATCTTCGTCAGTCCAACCAAAATATTCATGTCAAACTCGAGAAACACAGTTTTCGACAACAGACACAGTTTATGGTTTATATTACCTACATGGATAAATAATAACAAATAAAAATTATTAACGAATACATAAATGGTTTTATAATTTGTCCAGTGAACAAAAACGTTACTCAGGCTAACCTATAGAAAACAAACGCAAAATATGTATTCAGGAAGTCAATTGTAATATTTATGCAGGAAAACTAATTTAGCGGCTTTTTCGGTTTTCAAGCGATTTCGAAGTTTGGAATGTACCGAATCAAATGTCGAGAACTTTCTTTCGACAGATGCTGAAGAAGCTGTAACAGATACGATAGTATCGATATTTTGTTGGGATTTCCACCAATTTAAAGCTTTGGAAGTTTTGAGAATTTCTTCATCAAACATTATATCAGTAAAAGGATATGATTTTGCCAGGATATTAATTATTAAGAATCCACTGGGAAGTAATTTTTGCGGATTTCAAAGTACAACTCTTTTCGCCGTCTGCTAATAAATTGGTGGACAGTTGCCTTGCAACATAGAAAATTTCACCCAAATTCAAAACTCGATATTTTCGGAACGGAAAGATATATCGAGTTGCGGTACTCGGGAGGTTCTTGGCCAACTCTTTGAGAACACGTACAGGGTTCCACTGGTATATTTCTTTTAATTATCCTCTTATACAGGATGAGCAAAGGAAGACAGGTTTTTTAGCAAAGTTTGGGGCTGTGTCCAATTCACAAATTTTGATTCTAGAAATTTTTCTATGCATCTTTTTGATCTTTGGACTATCCTAAAAAAACTAATTTCTCAAATTTTTAGAAAGTTGGCTACAACTCAAATTATCGAATTTTGAAAAACTGTTACATTTATACCAAAAAAAGGAACTTTTTTGGGATCTCTCTCAAGAATGGGCATTTTTTCTCATACTGTTGCATAAAGTGGAATTTCTTGCGCCCGAGAAAAGATTGAACCTTATTCCTTCCAGTGGCGTGCAGTAAAAAGTTGCTACTTTGACATTATGTAATTTAAACCGAATTTATAAATTTTACTATACAATTAAACAGCTTAATGAACAAATCCAATTTATGACTCTTAATGTAGGGGTGTATTCCAGTGGCGTAACACCAAAAGCAGTTTTTGGTTTTGTACGAAGTGCTAATAACGTGCGACTATATGATTGTTCTAGAGTCGGGCACACTTGGCGCGACGCCCTGCTCTGAAAGAAATGCTACTTTAAAAAATAACCTATCAGATTTTTTATAACATTTACATACCTGAACAAATTAGAATTTAAAGTTCTTCTTACAGCACTATTGGATGCTATTATTCCACTGTGCCGCCGTAAGTTGTCATTCAAGGTTCTGGATAAAATGTTCCTCCTTCGCCAAACTTTCTGCAATAAATAAATCTTTCTGCCGACCTCGTATTTTTGTTTTTGGATTACCTCCTCCTTGCAAGTTCGACGTTTCCTCGGTATCCTGATATCTAGGCCTTAAACGGTATATTAAGGTCTGATCGACAATATAAATTAAAGCTACATTATTTACTAAACGACCTTCTCCCAATAAGCTTATACAATTCTCTTGTACTTTTTGAAAAAGTCGAGGCATTTTTGAGAAAATAAATTTATACTCTCAAGTCTATAGTTAATATTATTTAGCAATTGCGGTGTACTATAGGTAGTTAGGATGAAGCCGGAGAAACGTCTTACTTGCATGGAGAGGGTAACAAAAAAAGAGGTAGAGCAGAAAGACATTAATTAACACATACAAGTTAAGATTTCGATAATTTGCGTTATAGCCAAATTTTGAAAAAAAATGAGATATCAGTTTTTTGTAGGATAGACCAAGGATCAAAAAGATGCATAGACAAATTTCCAAGATCAAAAACTGAGAATCTGACAGCCCCAAACTTTGCTACAAAAACATAACTTCCTAAAACTCACCCTGTATGAGTGGATAAATAGAAGAAATATACCGGACAAACCATCTACGTGGTCTCAAAAAGTTGGTCAAGAACCTCCCGAGTACCGCCACCCGATATCTCTTTCCGTTCCGAAAAGATCGAGATTTGAATTTGGGTAAAATTTTGTATGTTGCAAAGGAACTGTCCACCAGTATAGATGTGTTTTTGTATTCCACTCGAAGTAAAGTCTGTCTACTCCCGCGCCAATTCGAGATTGTTGAATTCTTGTGCGACATCAGAAAAGGTTAGATCAGTTCTTTGAAGCTTATCAATAGCAACAGAAATAGGCTCCAGAATCGCTAAATCGTCTTCAGCAGATCTTTTCAAATAGATATATGCAGAAACCCTCTTCCATGGATCGAAATGGAAGAGGGTTTCAGCATTTAAAACAAACATTTCCGAGACCTAGTGAGGCAAAAATTAAAGAGGGCATATTTGTGGGTCCACAAATACGGAAAATCATGAAGGATGGTGTATTTTTCAGTGCTCTAAATGAAACTGAATTACGAGCTGGGAATGCTTTTACACCTACATCAGTTACTGCAACTTTTTTAGGCAATGTGAAGGCGGACAATTATAAAGATCTTGTGAGTGAACTAATTAATGCTTATAAAGGAATGGGATGTAACATGTCTCTAAAAATTCACTTTTTCGATTTTCATCTCGATTTTTTTCCGAAAATGTAGGTCCGGTAAGTGATGAACATGATGAACAGTTCCACCAAGACATTTCTGCCATGGAAAAACGGTATCAAGGCAAATGGAGTGTCACTTTGCTTGCTGGATATTGTTAAGAGATACTTCAGGAGCAACATATCGCCGTAAAGTATCGACGACAACATTCTGAGATTAATGTTTATTCGAGTGTTCATTAGTACTCGTACACACATATCCTTATATTTTACGAGTATAAGCAGCAAATAAAATGCCTTATTTCAAGAAAACCGTTTGTGATACAAAAAATCTATTACTATTTCCGGCTTTTTGGGTACGTTTTACATAATAACCACCTTGTTTTGTCCATGATACAAAAATTATTTCAATTTTGTTCACCAGTGTAATTGTCATAATTTTCTCGTACATTTGCCTCTAAAACTCAGAACGGCAATCCATTTCTGACTTCAGCTTAAATTATCTCTGGAGTGATTTTTAGCATTACATCATAAATCATAGCTCTGTTTTCTGCAGATTCTTGTAATTATGCAATTTATATTGCCAGGCGAGTTCGTTGTTTCTTGCAGCTCTTGATCATTTCCTAAGATTGGTAAATCACTTAATTTTAAGGCTGGACGCTGTTTTGATAGTTGCTGTTTGACCTTGGTTTAGACAGTGGCGGCTCGTGCCAATTCAGTGAGGTAGTGCCAGAATGGAAGCCATAATTTTGAATCGATTCAAAATTGTAAAGAATAACTTATAACTTACCCCTGATAGTTAGTGGTTCAATAAATCTATATGTCCAAAAAAAAAATCAAAAATAAAACTATTTACACACGCGCACCAAATTATAAAACAAGTGTGGAGAAGTACCTATAACTTCAAAGTTTTCTATACATGAAGTCCATTCTTCTTTCTTTTTTGGTAGCAAAGTTTTCGATTACCTTATTATTAAAATTTTCAATGCCACTAACAAAATGTTTTTCTGCAGACAGCATTCCTAAAGCACTAAGCCTTTCTTCCTTCATTGTGTTTCTGGGGAAAGTTTTAATCCGTTTCAGCATTGAAAAAGAGCGTTCTGCTTCAGATGTCGACATCGGTATAGTGATTAAAATACTTAAGAGCTTAAGAGTTTCTTGAAACGTACAATTTAATCCTTCCTCGTTCAATAAAATGGATAGTGGAACAGCTCCAGAAGTAGTACTCAATTCTTCTCTCTGATATAATACTTGTAACTCAGTTTTAAGCCTGTTTTTGTCTAAAAATGAAAATTGTGTGCATGTGTCATTTAAATGTGCTTCAGGAAACTGATGTTTATAAACAGAAAACTTTTCAGACACAAATAAATTAGAAGCAACTAAATGTCCAGAAAAGTTAAATCTTGTTCTTATTTGCGATAATACTGCATCGCATATTTCTAACGCTTCCCGTTTTTTGCTGCCTTCTTCAACTTGCCTTTTTTTTCTTGCCGGTTCATCAGTTTCTCTCTGCACTCGTTCAATCTCGTCAATAATGCTATCCATTTGTTCTCGTATAGTTTGAATTGCTGCTTCAAAATTCTCTAAATCATTTTTGACCTTAACAGAATCGGTGCATACTTTTTGTAATTGGTTAAAGACAATTTCAACATGTGGCATTATTTTATGGAATATACTTAGCCAAAATACAAAATTTGTATCTTGCAGCTTTAATTTGTACCCACTGGCTTGATTAATCGACGAAGAATCGCGTGAAGTACTTTCTATATTGTCCATAACTTCAATCAGGTCTTTCCTATTTTCATAAACTGTATGAACACCTCGTGACTGAAAATTCCAACGTGTTTGGGAAGATCTTGGCAATCTGCAATTAACTATTTCATCCAAAATTTTTGTTCTTTGAGGAGACGTCGAAAAAAAAGAGCACAATCCAGATAAATTATGGAAAAATATTCTAGCCTGCTTATTGACAGAGCATGCGCTTGTCATAATTAGATTTAACTGGTGTGCATAGCAATGAACATAATTTGCAAGTGGATAAGTTTCCTTAATAATTTTTTGAACGCCATTCAAATCACCACTCATAACAGACGCACCATCATAGCTTTGAGCTATTAATTTGTTTGCATTTTGATCTAGTAATGGATTTACAACATTTAAAACGCATGCAGCGATTGATTTGGCATCGTGTCCGTCGGGGACGTAAAATCTCCAAAATCTCTCAACTGGTTGTCCTTTACACAAATATCTGAAAATAATAACTAACTGAAATTCACAGGCTACGTCAGTCGTTTCATCGGCAATTACTGCAACAAAAGGAGAATTTGCAATCTCCTTCTTAACTTCTTCATGATAAACATCTAGCATGCACTCAAGAAGCTCGTTTTGAGTTGTTTTTGAGGTACCCTTGAAAAGTTTGGCACTTTGAATATGGACTTTCAATTCGTTGTCTAATTCGGCGCTAAAATTCACCAGCTCCTTAAATATGCCTCTGTTTTCCGAATTTTCCTTTTCATCGTGACCCCTTAAGGCTAACTCAAATGCTCCACAAAACCTTATACAATTAATAATTTTATTCAATACATATCGATTCTTATCCACTTGATTATTATGTTCTTGTGCACTAGGTAGCCGCAAGTTAATTCCGCGCCTACGACAAGTGAGCATAACGTCAAAAAAAACTACATAATGTCATGAAAAATAGATATAATGTCAGTTTTTAAGTTATGTAATACAGATGCCGTAGTCAAACTAAGAGTCAGATTTATAGACTTTCCTTGGGGCGTCAGGCTTCCTTGAAAACTCAGGATATCAGATATATGCTTTGAAACAGTAATGCTTCTTTAACCAACATTCAATAAACGAAATGCGAAATAATAATGTGTTTGTTTCCTCGAATTACAGCCAAATACGAGAAGTAAAACACTTAATATAGGCAACCATTGCACCCAACGGCTCTACTGGTTCCAGGTTGTTGGTTAAGAAATACTATACAAATTTAAAGAAATCATTGAAAATCGCTCCTTAATAACTTGAAGAGCAATTTCAGAAACCTTTAATGAAAATGATACTTGAAGAGTAAATTTCAAACACCTTTAATGACATCACACAAGCCTTTATGAAATGTCTGGTTCCAGTAGCCCATTCTATGAGGCTTGTCAATTGACAAAGATGGATTTGTAAAAATTAATTCATAGACACTATGGTTATTCACCTAGCTGTTGCAAAATAACATAGTTCTTCGCACCTTTGTTTGATGTTCCATAATTTTTTGAGTTGTTTGCTTGTTATTTTTGGGGGTATGATTTTCATTGAAATTTGCTCTTTATTAAGGAGTTATCTGTTTTTATTTTCAATGATCCCTCTAAATATGCGTAGTATTTCAATCTTCTCCTCTTCGCTAAAACTCTTTTTTTAACTGTCACATATTATAATTTATATTATCAAATTTGGGTATTATAATTAAAATATACTTTCTGTGAAATACTGTAGTAGTTGATGCAATCAACAACCTGCAACCAGTAGAGCTGTTAGGTGCAACGGTTTCCTATATTTAGTTTTTTACTGCTCGTTGCGCTGTAATTCGAGGAAACAAACACACTATTAGGTTGCATTATTGATGAGCAGCACAAATAAACCAAATCGTTCCAATTTTATCATCTAAAAGCTAAATAGATACCGGCCAGCAAAGAAAAATCTTTCTGACATCGATTGAGAGCTTGTGATGACAAATGATACAGGCTACTGTGAAATGAAAATTTGAATTCTGCCTTGAACGTTCCTCAAGGAAGCGCCATTCTTTCACTGGTTGCAAGGAAATACCTGATATCGTCTTAGCAAAGCTAAGCAATGGTTTTGAGGTTTCAACTAGTATTGCTACATATGAGATGTGCTTGGGATCAACTTGATTAATTATAAAAAATGATCCGAATCCTTTGCCGCAAAATTCTTCACTATTTTTTTTTTCAGGACCAGACGTAAATGGTGTCTTCGCCGGCCACACTGCCCTCCAAGCCGCCAGTCAAAACGGCCATCTGGAGGTCATCGCTTGTCTCCTACGCCATCACGCGGACGTCGAAATCGAGGACAAGGACGGCGACCGCGCCGTCCATCACGCGGCTTTCGGTGACGAACCTGCCGTCGTCAGGTTGTTGGCCCACGCGGGGGCTGACCTTAACGCGCGCAACAAACGCCGCCAGACGGCGCTGCACATCGGCGTCAACAAAGGCCATGTCGGGGTGGTCAGGATGCTGTTGGATCTTGGCTGTCATCCTAGCTTACAGGTGAGTGTTTACATGGATAGTGGTGGTGGCAATTTCAGAATTTTCTGATGGTTGTTGTTGATTTATTTAGTATTAATGCTACAATATCAATATACAGGGTGTTTCAGTTTATTGTTGCATAACTTTAAGATTCTATAGAACATTTAAAATTAATGCATAAAGTCTATATAAACATGGGTCGAAAAATGCGTGGCTTCCGAAATACAGGGTGTTTAAATTTACTTTCTAAAATAGTTTTTTTTTTAAATATTTCGAACAATATTTGATGTATAACAGTGAAAATTGGTATACAAGGGTTTTTTGGTACGACAAAAGGAACCATGGGCATAGTTTTACTGTAGCCGCTAGAGGGCGCTCTCTACTGTACTCTACTGTAGTGTATTAAAATGACCGAAAAAAATTTCTTAGTACAATTTTTTGCTTTTTGAATAAAAAAACTGATTCTTCGCACTTTTCAACATAAAAAAGCTCTCGTGTGAATTTTCGTTATAGTTAGCCGTTTTTGAGATATTTCGATTTTTGAGGTTCGATGCATTTTTAATTATTTATGGGAAAATAACGTTAAAAAGTCAGTATCTCGATAATTTTTAGAAGTACGCTGTGCCTGCAAATATTTTTGAAATTGAAAGCAGAATAAGGTTAAACGTCAATTAGTTTGACAGTTAGTTTTGTTGTCTGTTGAAACCTGAAACGTTTTTTTGCAATTGTGAATGCACGAAATTTAGTTTCTTTTACCTGTTTTATTTTGTAAGTTATATAAAAAATGCCATTTTTGTTCTCCAATCAACAGTTAGCGGGTATTCATTTTGTGTATGGCTTTGTAAATGGAAACGCAGCAGAAGCAGCCAGAGAATACGCACGAAGATTTCCAAACAGACGACATCCAACTCGCTCAGTATTTGTAAGAGTGCATCGCCAAATAATTGAAAATGGTTTTGGAAATCTCCAAAGGGATCAAAACATAAATGTTCGTCAGCGCAGATTTAGCCGTATGATTCTGCGTGAGTTTGATAGAGATCCGACCACAAGTGTTAGGAGAGTTTCTGGTGCCTTGGGAATTTCAGCAAGCCATGTTCACCGTGTTCTTAGAAATGACCATAGATGTCCTTACCATTTGCAACCTGTGCAAGGACTACAGCCAGGGGACGGAGAACGAAGAATCACATTTTGTCAGTGGATTATTGATAGAACTGATAATAATAGGCAGTTTTTAAGTAACGTTTTATGGACCGATGAGTCATGCTTCACTAGACGTGGAGTGGTAAATTTTCATAATCAACATATTTGGTCGCATGAAAATCCGCATGCAGTTCGGGAAAGAAATTTTCAGCATGAATTTAGTGTGAACGTGTGGATCGGTATCTACCGTAATCGACTATTTGGACCCTACCTTTTGCCTGCAAGGTTATATGCTGCGACCTTCTTGGAATTTTTAAAGGCTGAACATGCAAATATGTGGGATGATGTTATGTTAGATTTAAGAAGATTAGAAAATTATCCAGAAAGATGGATCGGCCGTGGAGGACCAGTCGCCTGGCCTCCACGATCCCCTGACCAAAATCCATTAGATTTCTTTGTGTGGGGATTTCTAAAAGAAAAAGTGTACCACACTCCCGTAGCCACAAGAGATATGCTAATAGACAGAATCAGGAATGTATGTGATGAAATAAGGCCTTATTTGAATAATGGTATACCACGTTCGATCATTCGTAGATGTGAATTGTGTATTGAACAATTGGGTTTACATTTCGAGCAACTACTTTAGATTTTGTATGTTTGTCCTAACTATCCAATAGCATTTTAGTTGTAAATAATTAATTTAATTTGTTAAAAATAATATTGGAAAATTAAACAAATTAATATTCTGTTTTTTTGTGTTTATTTGGAGTTAGGAATTATTGCTGTGTTTAAAAACACAATCTAAACGATCATCTTAATTACTTGTAATGCCCAAATCGAAAATGTAAAAAAATATTATTTTCCCATAAATAATTAAAAATGCGTCGAAATATCTCCAAAACGGCTAACTATAACGAAAACTCACAAGAGAGCTTTTTTATAATGAAAAGTGCGAAGAATCAGTTTTTTTATTCAAAAAGCAAAAAATTGCACTAAGAAAAATTTTTCGGTCATTTTAATACACTACAGGTACAGTAGAGAGCGCCCTCTAGCGGCTACAGTAAAACTATGCCCATTGTTCGTTTTGTCGTTCCAAAAAACCCTTGTATACCAATTTTCACTGTTATTCATCAAATATTGTTCGAAATATTTAAAAAAAACTATTTTAAAAAGTAAATTTAAACACCCTGTATTTCGGAAGCCACGCATTTTTTGACCCATGTTTATATAGACTTTATGCATTAATTTGAAAAGTTCTATCGAATCTTAAAGTTATGCAACAATAAACTGAAACACCCTGTATAAATATAATATTGTATGTCTTCATTTATACATATTTTTAACCAAAATTTCACAACTATGAATTTTGGTGACATTTTTTTTCAATTTCCCCTAAAACATTTTCAAACTGGCACACAATGGTATAATTACTTCATTTATTAAATTCGTACAGTCATTTTTGAAATACTGATTTGTTTTTTATATTGCAACTACAATTTTGTAAATGAAAGTCTATACTCCCTCTAGTAGAATAACTGTGGAACTCATTGTTTAATTGAATAAAATGATTTGGCAGATGATTTTCTAACTTGAATATGAAAACGAAAACCAAGTAGGTTATCTAAATTTTGATATTTAACCATTGTATTTCTTTCGGCATTAATTTTATTCTAGTATATTTATTTTTATTTCAGATGATTCTCATATCTTTATTTTGTAATATATGTAATTTTGAAAAGTACACTTCCGTTTGCAGTGAACAAAATACTTAGTCGAACAATATAGCAAATGAGGATAGTGTTGAACATTATTTATTTACAATAAAAACTTGGACTATGCGAAATTCTGTAAAAGTAATTTATCTTTTAGGATATTTTTGAAATAGATTCATAGTGCCCTCGTTTTGATAAATAATACCTTCTGGCTGGACTTAGGTTCAAATGTTAGAGGAAGATGCGTTTATATTGCTACTTAAGGGCCAATGTTTCGCGAAATTGTCGATATTGAGGCGAGATCTTTTTTTATTTTGAGTTTTGTTGTAATCCCTCGTTGTGGATTCTTTACACTCCCAAATTAACCTATATTCTGTAATATTGAGTCTAATAAAGTCTTGTCATGTCGTCATAATCGAATTAGTTTTTACACCGTCGCACAGTCACAAGTCTTCTTGTTTGCGGTCGTTGAGTCAAAATCAGATAGTTTGTCTCTAGGAAGACATTTGAATGGTATTCTGAGGCCATTCATAGAGTACATTCAAAAAAGTTAACCGGACCCGGCAACTTGCAATAATATGGGCACTATATAAAAGGTTATATTTCTTATAACTAAAAGTTAGCAAAACTGTCACTAGATTTTATTAGGAAGTACTTCAAGGTTTACATAGATAATTTATTCCAATTGGGACAAACGGCGGAACTTTATTAAACACCTGTTTGAATAATACTGACATAAGAAGTAGTTAAAAGATGCTAAAGGAAGAAATCAATACAATTCATGCTGCACATGAAAACAACAACTATGAAAAACGGTCATATTACATCAAATAGAAATTCGTGCTCATACTATGCTCCATATCCAGATGTTTGATACTTTCAACACACAACACAACGGATTATACAAAAAAGTCTCCTATATTGTCATTAAAAAGTTGTATCTATACATCAAAAACTTCAATTCATTTCAGATACTAATTTTTCAATTTTTGCCAGGCATTCGAATGAATAGGCATCAAACACAGAAAATGTGGTACAGCACATACATCCTCATACAAGATAACATCGATTTATTTTAACATTTTGCAGAACGAAGGTTGTTTATACTTGAACAGCCATCATGATGATAAAGATGCGTCTTTCCTATAGAGAGTCAATAATATTCCAGAGAATTTTGTTTTCATCTGTCCCACCAACCGTGTACAGCGTCATTTCATACCTCTTTATAATTAACGTTATGGTTCAGATGGGACGACGAACCCTTGGTAATATAACCTCTAGATATGGTGGATTGTGCCACAATCTGAATAATGAACAAAAATGTGTTTTTACTGGCCAGTTTAAAGACTACAAAAATAAGTATAGTAATAGTATATAATCTCACAGAGGATATGTCAATAAACAAAACTCACATTTGTGGATCAGAAAATTTATACATCGTATAAGAGAAGGCAATGCATCCACAGCGATTGACTGGATTTTGGCTCGGGTGTATCATTGAGTAATTTTTCTTTATAAAATGAGCAAGGAGATGCCGTTTCAAACAGTGGGGAATGTTTATAAATGTAGACGAGATTGTCAAGGGTAACATTTGGTTTCAACAAGACGGCGCAACTTGCGACACAACAGTCGATCTTTTGTAGCTAGTTTGTTGTGCTGTAGAAAAAAGTGAATCTAAACAGTAGTTATAAATATGTCCTTGTCCATCATCATACCATAGTGACAATCTCTCGAAAAAGATATAATTGGAGACAAATTATTGTTATTGGTGAACCATTGTTTAGTGCATGGTGAATTCCCAGCAAAATTAAAGTGTTCCACCATTACTTCTGTGCCAAAAAGTTTAACATTCTGAGCTGAAACATGCGGCAGATTACTGTCTTGCGAGATGCCGAGAAGCTGTTCGAAGGGATAATTCATTGAATTATTAATATGATTTTTTAGTAATTTTTCTAAATCCAGTTTTACTATGTGTTCTGATACATTTTCTTCTAAGAACAATTTAGCAACAATCTCGCCTGATGATCATAGCATAGACTATCGAAAGATTGAGTTTTAAGTTAAAAGAGTTCACTTTGCAATTTTTTGTCCAATTCCCAAAGTCATATCAAGGACACTTTCGCCTAGCTAGTTACGACAATAACTATGTCCGATACACGTATATACCTATAATAATTTGGAGACTGTTTTAGACTTCTCAAATAGTGATATTAAGAA